AGGAAATATAAGAGTTTAATTGTATTGAATACAAAATATAATGAAGTTCGAAGAATTGTACTAAGTTCAATCTAATTCTAAATATTTAATGGATATATAAGTATATTTAGTAAATCTGGGTTCAAGTAACTAATAAACCCATGCCGTTGCTAGTATTGAATTAAAATATAAGGCAAATATAGCAACGTAAGCTCGGAATAGCTAAATATAAACCTTGAGTTTAAAAATTGGAGCTTTAATATTTCCTTCAAATTAATTCCAAGTATTATAAAACTAATCTAAGTTAATTTATTTCAATTCACCAAATAAAGTAATATCTTTGTACTAAAGTTTTAAACAAAAATAAAAAAATAGTCATAGAATAATTAAATGATTTTTCCCGCCTTCTGAGCAATTTTTTGAATACAAAGTCGGAGGTAAAGTTAATTTGTTGCTAAGCAGCCCAGGTAAACTTCTATACTCTATAATCTACTTATATCCTTTTTACTTAAATTCTTTTAAATTCAATTATATATATTTTTATTTATTATCCATTAGTTTTGTATTTTCTTTTCTATTAAGATTAGTATGACTATTATTAGTAATAATCTTTTTATTAATTTCAACAGGCGGTTCCAATTTATATAGATCCGTTTTTTTAATCTAATTATAAAGTAAAGTAATTGTTACGATGCACCAGCTCACGTAGTTCCGTATTGCGTAGTTGGGTACAAATGAATAAATAACTAAAGCTAAAGAAGAGAAGAGGAAGAGATTGAGAGCTGAACTCTAGAGTGCATCCTTACATAGGAGGAGCTCAGATTCTGCCAGTCTCTACCGCCTTCCTTATCTAATCTCATAATGTGTGAGAGTTGCGGGATTCATATCGTCACAGTAATAGTATATACGAAGCCGCACTGATTTTTGACTAAATACTCTAGTGCTAACAACTTTACAATATTCAACCATTTTTGTATTATAATTACTGTAATTTCAACCTTTATATGATATTTTGAATACTTTATGTCACGGAATGCACTTGGGTGCTTCTTCTGGGACAAACTATATAAAACCACTTGAGCGACCGAACTGCCAGCTTCAGTTACTTGTATCCTTTTGGAATGTAGCTTAGTGGTGTAGTGGTCCGCCAGCGCCGTGACACTTAACCGAAGCTAAAAGGCTACGAGTTTAAACCGCATAGTGGGGAAAATCTTCGGATTTTTCGGATGCTCTTATATAGGTTCCCTTTTATAAAGATGCACACGACCAGGTCGTATGGATGCTCTACCGTCGCTTAGTTGAGAATTCCCGTTCGAAAGTTCAATCGGCTTTTAGGAACCGTCGCTGGCTGTCCCGAGGGGATCGAGGTTCGAGGCGAACCTCTTAATGTAAGAGGAGGAATGTCACGGAATGCACTCGGGTGCCTCTTCTGGGACAAACTATATAAGACTACTTGAGCGACCGAACTGCCAGCTTCGGTTACTTGTATCCTTTTAAAACATAGCCTAGTAGTGTAGTAGTCCGCCAGCGCTATGCCACTTTAAATTATATAGTTTCTTTTTATTCTTTGGTCTTCTTGCCTTTCTTGCCTATTCAATTAAAGAGTATTGTATTATAAAATAAAGTACTAAAATACTATGAATTATATAAAATTCTGTATTGGCGAAGTAGAATTTTCTCGGCGGTATTATAAATCCAAATACAAATATTAATTTTGATAATCTAGTATCATATATTAATCCTTCTCTTCCCGGAAGTATATACGTAAATAAATTATTAAACTTAATTCTAATGGAGAGATTCTATACTATATAGTTCTTTGAACTATATTACGCTGGCGCTTCGCTTATTAGTACCCAAATATAAATAAAGGTCCTGTCAATTGCTTCTAGGTAATACTTCAAGAACTAACCCAGCTTTATATCGCACAACGCAAATTTGTATATAGTATTAGGTAGTAGGAGTGTAATAATATAATTATACAAAAGAACTATAGTATAAAGTACTTTATTAAAAACAAAGTTAATAGTCAAGGTACTATAATTCAAGTAATAAAATATATTTCACTAAGTTTCATTGTAGGGATAATGATATAAGATAATTATAAATTTCTATTTAATAGATATTTATACAATACTATAAATACTAATATAGGCAACTAACTAATCAACTAATTGGATTAAAAAATATTGCTTTATATAATATAAATCGAATAATTCCGTATTTAAAAGTAAATATGACAGGCTAGGATGCACATGCCCAGACAGCTAAACCTACAAAAGATAAGACGATGTTCTGCTTGCAAGGCAGAACTTGGAATGCACACTATATAGCCAATGCCAACCTGTGACAGTAAAGCATCTCAAGTAACTGCTTTACTTTTATACTAATTTATATAAATTAATCCCTATATAGTATTATTACTGCTACAAGCTTTCAACAAAGGAACTACAATAATAATAATCACTAATATATATCTTATTTGTAATTGTATTCGAATTTATATAATGAAATTTATAATAAATTATTCTATAAACGAGGGCAAAAAAGCTATATAAAGGAGTAAAAACTGCTAACACTACCAGCATAACTAAAAAAAAACCTCTATCATATCCAATCTTCTACACAAACACAGCTTTTGCTTATATTATTAAATGACCAACTTTTAACAACTCGCAATACCTTTTTAGGAAGGCAACCAAGGTTCATACAAGCGACAGGTCGATTACAAGGGGGTTACGGAGGTACTACAGGGCTCTCTAATCGAATTAATACTTTCTAACAGCCTGAGTCTCTTCCTGCACCTTTCTTGCAGTGTAATCAACTGCAGATTAACAACAGAGGTTGATTTTGTATGGGAATCGGATTCATGCGTCGAAATTTCGAACGCGCCCCAGGAGTGGGAAGGAATGAAGGTCTAGCAGGACCAGAATCAAACGAATGGCAACTCGATTCAGCGAGAATCCAAGCAGTAATTGGATGCAGGTTCAAAACAAAGTGGATGAGGCGGATCACGGATGGTCGAGAGCCATCAATGAGATGAACAAGATGGAACAAGTTGTGGACTTTCTGTTTGGGACCTGAACCAAGACCGACCCAGACCCACACGCACCACTCCCAGGCCCGGGTCTCCTTTCGCTTAGGGCCCGATTGGGTTTAGTGATGCTATTCCAGACATTATCGAACGGCATATGGGGAGAATTTGAAGCCGTTGATTCGCCGCTTTCAGCCCTCTGGTGCTGTGCACTTGACTCTGTTTGAACCCGACATTTCAAATTGCACCCTGTCCGATGGTCGTGTGGTGCTGTCCTGGACTACTTGCTGGCTGTCTTCCGCCCCGGCCGGCTGCCCGCTGCCCGCTGCCCGCTGCCCGCTGCCCGTTGCCGTTGCGATGGCTCGGTTGCGGATGCGGTTCCAACATCCAACGTCCCAACCGGTGAAAAGAAAGATTGCTCCCGGGGGGGGCTGCTGTTGGGTTCCATCTGGGAGCTGCCCAGTGCGACCTCAGCGATGCCCTCCACGGGTGCCACGCCATGAGGGACGGACGTGATGGATGCCCGCGCCATCATCCTTGGGATCCGATGGTCGACGACGCGGAAGCGGAAGGAAACCGTTCAGCTTTTGCGCGCGGCGCCTCGGGACTCCAGGACGCCACGAACAGGGGGAGCAGGGACAGGCCAATGTTCGACAGGGGCAGAACAGGGGGAGCAGGGGTGACACGGTCATCATAATGGACGGCTAACACCGAATCAGGACTAACTCACGATGGCCACGGCTCCAGTCCCGACCTGTTCCTGGATCAGGCTGGCCTGTGAATGTCGAGTGTGTGTGGGGAAATGTACGCTGCTGTCATTACTGCCCGCTGAAGCCCATCTTTTGCCAGGACAAGACTGGCTGACTGGCCGCCAAAGCAAGGCATCGCCGTCCGGCTCTTGTTAGCTGTGATGAGGCCGCAATCTGACCACCAACGCCGATACGATCCCGATCCGACCACACCGGCCGGCCTTTGTGCCTCGTTCTTCTCTTCTGTTCGCGTCGCTTGTGCCAACAAACCACTAACACAGCCGCCGCAGTGCCGCGCTGCTGAAAATCTCGACTGGCGCTTGGCGAGGCTCTTATGCGCGAAATCGTGTCAAAGTCTTGGGTAGCATGAGGATGATGCAACTCCACCTCGTTGAAACCCCGAATGGTCAATTGTTCAGGCTGCGGTAAGGCTCCGTGTCCGGACTCTGAAAATACAGGTTGAGGGGCGGCTTGTTTACTGGTCGGCCTGCTCCTGCACCTTTGCTGCAGATGGTGACGTGGGATGGGCACGGTTGTGCCTTCCCATCCAACCAACCTCACCTGGCCTCATTGCGGAAAAGGAAAGAACTCCAAGGCAGCCGCGGGCTATCTCTGGTCCAACTTGGCAAAAGTTTGCAAGAACCACCAACAATGGAGAAAATCATGACCGGGCATGGCGGGATCACATCATTTCATCGCTCCCGGCCTGTTCTTCACGTTCTTTCACCAGAAATAGTTCTGGGCACATATCACTGCATGATCCCCTCATACTCCCCGCATGAGCCAAAGCCCAGTGTTGGACATATCCCAGTTTTGTGATCGATGTCATCTCTCTTTTATTTCTCTCTTGTTTCGCCAAGTGCTGGAAGTACCGTGGTCGAACCCGTTATCCGATTGCTCATTTTAGCATCTTTCTCTAATTGCCCTCTACCCTCCAACAAAGCCTGTAACTGATTCCCAATGTCATTGTCCTTGTCCCATTATTTTCAATACCCAGAAATCACAGATCAACTCCCCAGGTTCAGTTCTCCTTTCAACGCCATTGTACCGGTTTTCTGTACGCAGCGCCCCGTGTCATCAAGTACCCATCATGACCACCCCGTTGCCTTCAACGGAGCAGAAGTGTTCCAAAATAAAAGAAAGCACTAGAAGTCGAAACCCATTACCAGTTCCTCCGGTCAGACGCCCCATCCAATGCGAAAGAAAAAAGGAAAGAAATAAAGAAAGAAAGAAAATTCTCAGCAAACAGCCGCGGGGGCCGGGTTGGTGTTGCAAGGTCCATCAAACATCCACTCGTCGTCGTTCTCGTGGCTCATGGTAAACGCTTCCATGAAATCGCCGTCCACGGCCTCGGGGTCGAGGATGCTACCAAAGGCATCGTCGAAATAGTTGGCCATTGGGTCGTTGGTGTCACAGTCCATGGCGGTGGTCTGGATCGCCTCATATGCGGTCTTGTCTACCGGAGGGGTCAAACCTGCCGATGACATGTCCTCAACGTCAGTTTGCGGTGGTGTGCTGCCGCCACTGTCCACGTTCACCAGGACCAAAGCGCCCGGGCCGTGCCCTACCCCCGACACCATGGCATCTACCTGGGGAGGACGATAAAAGGGGGTATTGGCCGGCTGGAAAGATGAGCTGGTCTCAGGTGGCGGTGTTGGCTCCTTCTGCGGTCCCAGCTGGATCTGAGGGCCGAGGTTTACCGTAGCTGCCTGAGGGCCCTGAGGACCCTGAGGGCTGATAGCGGTGGCCTTGTGACGAGCCTCAACCCCCATCAAGAATCCGTGTGCGAACTCGGCCGCTGCGTACATGCCCCGCAGCTGGAGCAGCAGCTTTGCGCACACCTCAAAGTCCCGGCGTGCTTGCTGGCTGAGCTCAGGATCCGGAGATCGGCTATGAAGCAGGTGAACCGTCATGGCTGGCAGTGTCACGGTCACAGCCGTGGTGGGCAGATACTTGGCCAGTCCGTGGCGCAAAAGATCTTCCGCCATTCTCGTCACCATAGTAGCCGCGTGGTGCACCTTGCTCCGAGCCTGCTGGGCAATCATGCTGGTCTGAGCGGATTGAGTAGCGGCCTGCTCCATGGTCAAGTAGTGCGGCCTGTGGAGAGCCGAGACGGTGGTGTGGTAGACCATGTGGAGGAGAGTACGGTGGACAGCTACCGGCTTGTCCTCCTCAGCAAGGGCCTCGGTCAGGAGTGGCCTGTATTGGCAGTCCTCAGGCAGCTGCAAACGCCAGCTCTCCAGCATCTGATCCACCTTCTGGACCTCCTGGATGTTGTTCAGGCTCTTGTTCGGGAACAGCATGGTGGTGCTGGACGTGGTTTGACCAGCTGGAAGACCACCGTCGTGGTTGAGGACCGTGTATTGGGTCTTGATCATGTGGCTGATACCAACGCAAATGCGTGCCTTCTGGATGCACAACCGGGCAAGCTGTCTCTGCGTCGCAACATTTCTAACAACAGCGCAGTTGGGACCAAGCAGTTGGTTATCTGCCGGAAGCTCCACGATCTCGAAGTCGGATTCCTCCAACATGGGCACGTCAAAGTCCTCGTCCTTGATGCGGGTCGGCCGGCGCATGCCTAGCGCAATCAGGCGGTCGCGCATGAAGCAGCACCACCAGATCCGCTTCCACAGTTTCCTTTGCGCGGGCGGCATGGCCAAGTTGGCCGGATTGCGGTGGATGCCAATGGTGAGTCCCAATGAAATCGCAACTCCGATCCAGTGCCACGTATCTTTCTGATCCTCCGGTGTTTCGTACCAGTAGGTCATGAGAAGCAGAGACTGGACAAGATCGAGACGGTCCTTTTCGACATCGCAATCGTACAGAACCCGAGTTCTCATAAACAACTCTTTCCGAGCGTTCCTACGGCTCCCTAGCCCAGCCGCGTCCAGATATTTTTGGTCTACAAAGTTAGACCCCGCAAACATAACGGCTTGGTAGAGGACCAGGCTAATTTGGCCCGATTGGCCGTTGGAATGGATCGCGGTAAGGAACTGACGCAGTTCCAGAAGCGGCATGTAAGGGTGGACATATTCAACATAAGCCTTGAGCATGGCATTTTGCACCTCGGGCGTCGGGATCGTGAAGGCTCCCTTGGCCATCATGTATTGCACATCAACTGCGTCCTTGGGCGGGAGAGGCTTGAAGAAGTTCGGAAGATGCGGAGAGACGGTCCGGTTGGGTTTCGGTTGGAGGTTTGGTTGTAGAAAAGGCTGTGGTGGGGGGGTCGAAATCGACGTAGGAGTTGGTAGTGGGTTCACAACCGTCGCGGAAGGGTTGGCGAAGTTTCCGGGCATGGTCGTCATCAGCTGTGGATTTTGCCAGAGACGCGCGCTGGCTTCGGGGAGGCTTGGACTGTTCCAGAGTCCTTGGGTTTGGGCCGCTTGAGCGTCTGTCACAACGTGATTCAGTCAGATGAGGCTCCCTGACAGCCGGATTACTCGGGAAAGACCAATGACTTACAAAGTGGCTGCATCAGGGCATTTCCCATGGAAAGAGGGAGTCCAGCTCCGTTCATCATCTGGAAACCAGCCATGAGCGAGGCATTGGCATGGGCAGCAAGCTGCTGGCTAGAAAGAATCGGCTGGTGACCGAGAGTCCTGGCGCCAAGTTCACCGCCCACGGCCGCAACTCCATTGGGAACGTCTTGTCCTGCCAACATGTTCTTCCTACTCAGAGGAGAAGGGCAATGGCGTTAGCCACTGCTCGGGTTACTTGGTTTTGAAGATTGGGGAGGCATGGATGCCGAGGCACTCACTTGCGACGCCGACTCTCCATAACCACACATTCGACCCGATCCCATTTGCAGTTGTTACAAGGCAGGCCGCCCTCAACAACATTGCAGCGTACTTTACGGTTCCGGCATGTCAAGCAGGCCCGAGCCGCACGTCTTTTCGCTGGCCTGGGGTTCTGGCTATCTGCGGGACTGGCTTTTGATGGTCGCTTCTTGGAAGGTGTCGCGGCTTCGATCTTTGCGAGGGAACTCGGCTTGTCTTCGCATGGCGACGTACATACTGGTCCCGTCGACTCGTTTTCCGTCGATGGGCTCGGCGAGGGAGTGCACTGTGATCCTTCCCCGGAATCAGACATTTTGAAAAGGGCGAATTTGATTTGATGCCTTGGAAGTTCTGGTGCCGAAACTGAGCTGATAAGAAGGGTGAGTTGCTTGGTGGTGAGATTATAGTCAACTCCGGAAGCAGGCTGATGTGTATTGAGGTTGCTGGTAAGAGTGATGGCGGGTGATAAGGTTCGGTTTCCGACAAGGTTATGTCTCGATGGATGTTGGTAAGTCGTTACTTGATATTGTCTGTCTATTTACCCAGATCCACGTCGACGTTCACCTTGACGAATTCATCCAAGAGGACCCGGATTGGGAGGTGGGGGGAGAGGATGTTTTATATTGTTCCCTTGGTTTGACGGTGTACTTGGTACATATACACCTCACACAGTTAAGGTCCCATATCCTCGTACATATGGGGCATTAGAGGAGGCACTAGAGAGCCAAGAATGGGGCCCCATGTCAACCCATCGAGGTATGGATCCGGGTTTTGGGTGCTGCTTTCTGGAAAGTTGGATGAGGCTCAAAGGGCAAACCCAGCAGCTAACAAGCGTGATGAGTCGTGACAGCGGCAAACGCTGTCCATATGTTGAACTGACACTTCCGCAACAGAGATAGAAACATGTCCTTGCAAGAAATCAAGATGCCAACGCTGACCTTTAAAAACACAACGTCAACCGCTCTCGAAAAAAAAAAAAAAAGACTTGGAAGGTATTCGACACACAAAAAATCAAGATGGTTTCCGAGGCAAAATAGTTGCCCCACCAATAGGTACCCCGGCAGACGCCCAGAGAGCTACGCTAAGCAACGTACAGACAGGAACGGGGTGGCTCACATGCCTATCATGAGCTTGGAAGTACAGTACAAAAGCCCGCCGTACCCGTCTCATCTTCCTGTTCGTCTCTCCCAGCCCTCGTCGAGCCCCTCGTCAATCGTCATGGCCTTGGACCCCGTCTGGGGCTGGCACAGCGAAGTGGAATCCTCAATCGAGCCCATTGCTCCGAACCTGGTTGTGATTGGGTATCCACTGGCTGGCCATGCCTCAAAACGGTGAGATCTTGGAGCCTTCGTACATAATCGAATCCATCTTTCTCCAGTCTTTTGTTTATTTTCTGACCTCCCCGCCTCTTCCAACTCCATACCCAGAGTCTTGACTACATGAACTCCTCCACTGTCACCCAAAACTATTCGGGTCTCTGGCGCATCAGCGGGGACATAATGAAATGGCGTCTTCTTCGTTGACCTTTTTCAAGATCTTGAGCGAGGAAAGAGATTGAGTGTGGAGGAGCCAATCACGACACTTGGGTGGATGGTGTGGCAGCCCAAAAGGGCTTAGATTTTGCTGCCCACACGTGAAGTAGTAAGCCGAAAAAGGTGCACCTAATCGAGTTTGGCGAGCCAGGGGTTGGGCGAGCAAAAAGTCAAGATACCCCAGGCCGTCGTGGAAGAAGCGGGAATGTTGCGATTTGCGCAATGTTGCCAGCGGTGGAAAATGTTACGGTCATGTGCCCAACTGCCCACCTTTTTCTTAACAGTTTGGAACAAACCTTGCAACCCATGAACCCACCCATGCCCCATCGTTACCCCATGCTGGCCGTCGTTGGGGAGAATCAGTGGCAGAAGAGGAAAGGCAGCAAGGTACTGGACGCAACGGTGCGTCGCGGATACCACAAACCCTTGAACTCAGTCTTGGCCTTTGGGGTAATAACTCCGTTGCTGGTCCGTTGCACATGTCAATGCCTTTGAGGCTTCGAATCACAAGCTTCGAGTTTTGACTCTCCTATCTGGGGTCAGACGGACTTTATTGGAAGTTCAATGAAGCCTTTGATATCTTTCATACGGACATTATCGGCGTCAAAAAAAACTCCCACTCCGTCCACCAGCCAGCCCCTTTTTTCCTCGAGGTTTCTTTGGCTTCGATGCATTGCATGGCAATGCGAGGTACTTGAAGTCGAAGTACTGCTTGTACTCTGGAAGAAAAACTGGGGAGGAGATTTATCTCCGTTCCGTTTTCTCTACCGTCTACACACATAACCCTCTCCAGTCCTCTTCGACCCCAAATCTTGTGTACTGTACTGTGGCCTTCCCAAAGTTAACGGTGACAGCAGCTGTAAAAGAGATTGTAGGACACCAATGATGGCATTCGCTATTGTCAACCAAAACTGGATCTCCTCAATTGGCAAGGGAACAATGAGCCAGTGACAGGTCGGCCGTTTGACCGAAGCAGCGAAGCGCGATGCGATGCCGCTTTTGTGTGTGGTTCCCGTAGGCCGGAGCGGGACTTCTCCGCAGTGGCTTCTGCATCTGACCGGGGCGGTGTTCTGATTGACCGAGAGCACAATCAGCACATGGCGCACACTGTTTTGTAGGTGGTACGGGTTATCACCGAAACTACGAAGGACATACGAGCAAGAGCCTTCTTGGGATCGATCTCAGTCCAGACCTCAGCCGCTTTGTCGGGAATAACAAAAAATATGAACAATCGACGACAACGACCACGACCATGTTGATATCCCAACACCGCTGCACAGATCCCAAGACAGCGATCGGAGACTCTCGGGTGCACACCGTTGTCAGACTATCGATGTGAGTAGCAACCTTGATAACTGGAAGAGATAACAACACATGAAACCGAAGATCACCAACTGTCACCTTCCCACAGACGCCAAGAGCAGATGTGAGGCGAAACCTGGGGAATCCAGCAACCTCATATGAATCCGCTGAATGCCAGTTTGACACATCGGGGGCTCATCCACTCCATTTCAAGTTTCGTGATATGGTCAAGTTGTCAACCACCACCACGCAGCATCATCATCATCATCATCATCATCATCATCATCATCATCATCATCATCATCACCAGGGCAACGCAAAAAGGAAACAGACACAACCACCAGAGCCACAAATTCAGACGATCATCACTACAAACTGGGCTTAGCTTCGGCCTTGAGTCAGTTGCTTGGGGACGAGCCTAACGAAAACGGCGTGAAGTTGCATGCATCACCGTCTTTCGTTGGCCCCGGCGGCGACGGCGGGCCCGGCAAACCCCGTTTTTCTGGAAGCCCACTTTTTGCAACACTGGGCAGCAATCAACCAATCCACATTTTCTGAACATTGTGGATTTGGGAAATTTGAAACGATTCTTGGCTGATGATGTGGTCTTCCTGGAGATTCTTTCTTGTGTTCTCTTGTTGGAGTTTTGTTTTGTTCTGTGTCCCTTCTCTTTTGACCCCTGAGTATCCTCATCACCAAGTAAACAAAACAATGACAGGCAAAGTTGAAGAAGGGCTGAGCTATCTATGATTTGGCCAGGTCCGAAGCAATGCATTAAATTGCGTCGAATGGTAAATCATTCGCCAAGTTCATGGGTAGGACCCACGATCGATCAACAACAACAAGCGAACATCACGACCACGCATCCTTCATCAATCTCTTTTTTTTGGACTTCCCCATTGACGCCAAGAGCGGTGAAGCCTGGCTCGCCTGGATTGACCAGTCGGTATCCAAGGGTTTTTTTTTTTTGCAAGCAAGTGCCATCATCACAAAAGCAAGCGAGTGACAAGGAAAGCTGTGGGGAATGGGGATGAAGAAAAGATGGAGAGAGAACGCAGAAAAGAAACGATCACCGATCTTTTTTTTTATTTATTTTCTTCTCCCTCCCTGCCTCCCCCGCTTCCATTGGCGGCCAACCCCACATTCCTCCGCAAAAGCCAAGCCTTTTCTGCTGCTGGTTGCCCCTCCGCACACCGTGCTGAAGCGGCCCTGCAGACAGTGATGCCACAGTGCCAAATACCAACAGATCGTCCGCTGTCACCGGGCATCACTGCCACCGTTCAGAGCCTCAAGCCCACTCCCCGCCTGAAGACTTCTTCGTTAGTTTGTTCTTCTTCCTCACCGTTTTCCCCAAGGTCCCCAATAAAAACTTAGCTTGGCAGCCTCGGCAGCGATCCCAGTTCCAGCCTCCCCGCCTCCAGCCGTCCAGTCCGCCCACAGCTCACCGGCGACCGGCCGACCCGGTGACCTGAGCGGGTCAGGCCCTGCCTGTCTCATATCCTCCCCCTCTCCGTCTACGCCGTCCTCCCAGGCAGATATTCACACCGTCTCCGTTCGACCTCCTCTCCGTTCCACACACACACACTCTCCATTCCCCCAGGCACGCCAGGAACAGACAGGCGAGACAGGTTCACCCCTCCTCCTTTGCTTCTCATAACATGACATAGGCAACCCATTTTCAGCTCCGTAAAAACCTACAATTGTTCATCCGTTCCTTCCCGGCCCTGCCCTGGTGATGACCTGGCCGGACCTGACGCTACCCAGGACCACACGTCCCCAGGAACACACACACTGAACACACCCACAAAATGAAAGAATGAGTGGGATCACGAGACACGGGGAGTACGGGGAATACGGGGAATACGGGGAAAATGGGGCACGCCGCCTCCTCCGCATTATGATGTGCAATGTGTGTTCTCCGCTGCCGAGTGGCGCGCGAAGAACGCCGGTCGTTGTACGTACTTGTAAAGTGTCGTGCTTCACTTTTACATACGGTGTGCGATCCGGACTGGGTCTGACCGTCTGTCAGCGTTGGATCCGATCGAAGCTCGACCGAAACCATTCAACGGGAGGGAAACCACCTTGATGGACGGACAGCAACCAACCGCAACGAAGGGCTTGGTTCTTACGCCTATGTAAATTGCCTGTCGCCAAGAGTGTCGTTTTGTGCGGAGGGGCACAAGTGAGAGGCACGTATTATGGATTTCACGCAGTACACGTCGGGGAGATCACAGGTTTCACATCGGCTATCGACTTGGAGATATGAAGTAGTATCGCTGGATATAAACTGCCAGGCTCGCAGGCTGGCCATCAAGGGACTCGATCGACTCGAGAGCGAACCAACGAGTGAACGAAGTAACGTTATTCATCGTGGAGCGTGAAGATGAGGTAAGTTGGTGGGACGGCATCACAGGAGAGGTAAGCATGGATTTAGCAACGAATATGTATAGCACTTACCCTAAGGATCATGATTAACAACAAATCAAATCAAACAAACAAAACAGATCAACAGATGGGTGTTTCAACAGACGCGGGTAGACACGAATCACTATACGCTCTACCGCTCCAAAGCTTAATGCTGCCAATAGCCGACGAGACAGGATACAAGGTAAAGAGATCAAAAAGTTAAAAAGGCCTCATGAGATAGCACAAGACGAAAGACTGAAAACAATACTATTCTGACACTAGATACTAAAAAGAGACAAAGACATGATCGAGATGAAACAATCACCTATACGATTGACGATCCATTCGGTGTCGCGAAGGATCTTCTCTCGACCGACGATCATCAACGGAATTTGTTCCGCGGTGTACATTAGGTCTAGGACTCCGATTTGACGACGGTCTTATTGCTCAACACAAGTACTCACTCGTCATTTGATAGCAAGCGAGCTTGGATATCAACCACGGGACCTCATGCCCCTGTGTACAACAACAATTCTCAAACCAACAACACCATGCCGGATTCTTCGAAACTTTTACTTTTGCCATTACCTGCATTACCTACCTATCGACCCTCGCGAGACCAGAGAGCGAGCGGAAGGCGTGATCAATTCATCTACCTACAACTCTGCACACCACTACCTTACCTATATCAATCACCAGGTCAGCAAAGCCGGCGTACACCAACAACAGCATTTTACGTACAAATTACACATCACACAGGTAGATGTAGTAATCATCACCATTAGGTATATGTTCAAGTCGCACATCTTGGTATCTTGATGCAACTAGATCTCACCTTTGCTTTGAACAACAAATTTTACGACTGGTTTATCCATAACCCGCCGCAAGCCATGTACACTGCCGGTCACCTACAAAGGTTACTAGTGTTGGCGAAGGGTAAGGTAAACAACCAGCTTCAAAACTCGAGGAAAAAAAAAAAGAAGAAAAAAACAGAGGTAAAAAGGTGTTGTCATTCCCCCCCCAAACGCTTACCAGGATCTTGTGTACCTACCTACCTACGCAGTACACTAAGAAAATTCCCAAAAAGGTTCTAGACCTGCATAAAAAAAGTATTGGGTTCCAGACTTTCGGAAAATTTTCCTTCACCAGGTATTGTTGGTTGGTTGTCATGCATGTACGTAGATAAGTCCCGTCCGTCTGCATTTTTGCTTCTCGCTTCTCTCTTGTTGGTCCGTAACGGAGCGAAGCGAAAAAAAAGTGACTAACAAGGGAGAAGCGACGGCAGAAGTGTCGGTAGAAGAATGAACGGAGGGAGGCATTGGGAGGGATATGGGATATGAGAGGTGTGGACGCCACAAAACTGAAGAATGCACTAGCATCAAGAAATGCATGCATCATGCTCTGATCTGATTTGGTTTCCTTCTCGATTCGATCGCGTGCCCGATCTCGAAGGAAGTTTGAAGAAGGGCTGATGTGGGTGATTGGCAGTGTTGTGCTGGGTTCGGTTACATTCGGGTGAGAGGAGCATGTTGAATGATGTTGGAGACGTTCAGTAGCCGTGTTTGGAAAAGGAGATGCGGACTGGAGGAGGTGTTGGAGATGGAGATGGAGATGGAGATATCTCGGGTGTGACGAAATGAATGAAAGGACAGTAACGGGACAATAGGTACGTATGGTACTCACTCACCCAGCCCTGTCCTGTCCTGGTGGCTGGCCGTCAAGGTGCTCAATCTAGACTATGTCACTGCGAACACTGCGAAGATTCGGTACGGATGAGTTTACGAAGAACTTTTGATTCACTTTGGGTTATCTTTTCGAGTTTTTCTTTTGATTATGGTTTCTGAATATGCGCGCCAATGGGGTTTGACTCCTCTTGAATAGGCTTAGCAGACTGGAGGGTGTTGTTTGATGAAGATAAGGTCTCTTGCCGATACCGGCAGGCGGAGCGAAATTATCTCCAGGTATATGCAATCTCATACTGCACCTCTATGTCCACCGGCATATTCATCATGACCATCATAGTGTCGCCATGGCTTTTACTTTGGGGTTTGAACTGTCATCAATGGCCCAGAAGCCAGGGAAAAACAGGCGGAAAACTGCGATGCTTATAGATAAAGAAGAACGAACAGCAAATTGTCGGGTCAGAGACGATGAGGGTGAGGGTACGAGGAAAGAGAATGTCAATATTGGAATCGATACTGAAGAACAGAAAGGAGGAGATGATGGAAACAGGAAGAGGAAGAAAAGAATGACCGCGGCAAGTATAACTGCAATTGCAGGGAAATAAGACAACTAAGTAGAGTGATAGGAGAAATTGGTTCGTTCGTTCGTTCATTCGAACTTCTCATCATCAGACTAGTGTCATACCACCGCGTCAACCTTTCTGTTCCGTTGTTCTTCCTTCTCACTCCCTTTATCCTTCTCCGTTCCTTCAGTCTTCCACCCCCAACCTCTATACGCTCAAATACATTCGCTCTTCGTTCCCGCTTCTGAATTGCATGGTCATGCTAAAAGTACCAAGCACAGCAATTTGTTCCTCGCTACTGAAGAAAGACCAATCTGGTACTGTCTTTTTTCTGCAAGGCACCGGCCTCCACTCTTCCGAGGTCCTGTTTCAGAGCCCTTTTCTTCGCGCCTTCCTTTCCTTGTTCTGTCTAACGTTCCTTTCTTGACGGCAACCGACCTCTACACCCAAAACTACTTAGGTACCTTAGTACTTGGTAGACAGCAATTTATGGAAGAGTGTTTGGGATGGGAGATACGCGCAGACAGCGGGAGGCAGCGCCACGGGCAGGCACAACTCAAGGTTAGGTGCAGTTAGTGTAGGTGGGTAGGTAGTTTGCAGTCCCTGGTGACAGACACCAGTATCACATATCATCATGAAGCCTCGTTCAAGTAACATTGGATACCCAATTATCTCCTTAAACTCCAGTCAGCCGATCCATTCAAAGTCATCCATAACATCAACCTATTTGTATGTGCCCCGAGACCCCAATAATGTATGTATCGCAACACTATCCGTGGTATATTTCATCCATCCCGATCATTACTGACTAAGAAACTACAGCCTCCTCGCTCTCTCTCCACGAGTCCTCTTCCTAGCCTTCGTCGATGATGAACTGGCACTCGCCAATCGATAAAGCTCAAGCCTGTTCCCAGCACCACAGTACTGATACGGGTTACCGGCACAAGTGAAGCTGCAATCAGCCAGCGGAGCGGGAGCGGAACCGCCGCGGAGGGTGTTGCCGCAGAAGCCTGTCATACCGTCATGTTAGCGCTGACCAAGCTCACAAAATAAGATGGGAAAGGGAAAAGAGAGAAAAGGAAAGAGGGAAGAGAGGAAGAAAGAAACAAAAAAAAAGGAAGAAAGAAAAAGAAGAAAAAAGAAAACTCACACTCCCTCCCATACTCCGCCCCGAAATACTCCCACCCCTCACAAGCTTCCGCACACCCCTCGAGCGTCATCCCGTCATCAGCCCAGAACTTGCCCTCCAGCGCCCTACCGCCTTGAGTAGCTTCAGTCTGGCATCCGACAAAGACGTAATCGCCCACGGCGTCCTTTCTTCCCAGGGTAGCCGTCGGCTGTGCTGCACTACTAGTTGCCGTACCCGTCCCCGTGCCCGCAGTGGTAGAGTAAAGCTCAAGTCGGTTTCCCGCTCCGCAATACTCTGTGCTATCACCGGCGCACAGCATGTTACATTCGCTATCGGGCGCCTCCGAGGAGGAAGAGGCCAGGGTGTTGCCGCAGAAACATTCGCGCGAGTATTCGGTGCCGAAGTAAGCGAAGCCTGTGCAGTTGGCGGCGCAGGATTCGAGCGTCATGGTGTCGTAGGCGAAGGAAGCGCCGGTTAGGGCGCGCACGCCCGAGCCTTCGGTTGCGCAGCGGAGGCGGGTGTAGCCGGCCACTGTGAGTTTTCTGGCGGGGCCGGTGGCTGTGGGAGTTGAGGATGAAGTGGTGGTGGTAGAGCTGGGAACATCGCTGGAGCTGATTTCCTTGACTACGCTGCTGGTTGATGATGGCTCGGCTGCCGATGAGCTAGCAGCGGTGCTGGCAACGGTGGAAGAGGCGTCTGGGTCGTTACCACCACCATCACCGCCACCACTACCAGGCGTGGTGCAGGACGCAGTTCCCGAAAAGGTGGCGCAGCTGCCTGACAGATCGCTGGCCTTGTTGAAGCTATCGGAGCTGGAACCTGCCGTGACGCTGAGCTTGGCGGCGTAACTCAGGCCACCGGCGATGGTGTAGCTGGCGGAGTAGAAAGTGTAGGGGCCGATGCAGTCGCCTTTGGTCATGGCGACGGTGGCGCTGCTGAGGATGGGGACGGGGTTACCGTTGCGGACGACGCCGCGGGGAGTGAGGTAGGAGATGCCTAGCGAGGGAGTTGTGGTGATGTCGTTGCGGACCTGTTATGTTAGTCAGCGGAGGCGAGTCTTGATGGTGAGGAGGAGGGGGAGTGGGAGCTTACGAGCGCAGAAACAGTGAGTGCACCAGAAGTCTGGAGGAGACAGCTCTGGGGCTTTTGCAGGATGATGGCATCTGACAAGGGGTAGGAGTTTCCGTTGTTATCGTAGGACTCGCTGGTGCCGTCGTTGAGGTTGATGGTCACTGTGAACGAGGAGATGCCCGAGGAAGCGGGGATATTGGTTGAAATAGGGTAGAACTATGTCTTTGGTTAGATATCATGAGTCCGAGTCCGAGCGAGAAAGGAACCATACCTCAAAAGTATCATCAAACCCGGTACCAGCTCCTTGCACGGTGGCGGTATATGAGCACGACCCGGAAGCGCAACCCCCATTCCTATCCTTCCAAGTCATCTTGATATTCTTGATGGCGCCAGAAGCCCGGTTTGTTGTGCGGACTCTGATGTACCCGGTCAAGAGAAAACTGCTACCTCCTGAGTTCAAGGTCAGCTGCATATCAACAGGCTTAACCGCATAGGGAGCAATAGGATCCGTCAGCGTCACGCCCGAGGGTACAGTGTCAATCATCTTCTGGAGAACAGTCTTGCAGACGTTCCTAAAATTCTCAGCCGAAGTCAGCCCGTTCATCGTGGCATTCCCATCAATGTTATACACCTTGAAATCCGAGTGTCTGTTGAGCGCAACAGCTGGGCCGACCACCAATGGGTTCTGCGTCGTTCCAGAGATGTACTCGGTAACCACCTTGTTATCGAACGTGGCATCCGTGGTATCAAGCGACTTCTGGCCGTTCGTTCCCGTACCCACGGGTACGATCTCGGGGAACTCCTCCGTGTGGACGCCGCCGAGGGTATGTCCGCACGCCGTCACCTGGATCATTTCTTCGGTGCTGAACCCCATGCGGTCGAACTGCTGCCTGAACGTTTCCGCCGAGTTTTGGGGTTGCGGTACGCCGGTGCTGCCACCGGATGTTGCGTCTTTCCTCCCGAGGCGAAGGGGGATGATGGGGCCTCCGCAAGATCGGACCGAGGCGTAGACTCCGGCGGCAATCAGGTCGGACATGGTCGATTGGGATGAGTAGTAGTTGGCGAAGAACTTGAGGGTGGTGTTGTGGCCCGGTCCGGTGTTCTCGCCGTTTGTGAGCTCGAACTGAAGCGAGGCGTCGAGCCCGCCGGTGCCGAAGACGCGGTTGTGGGTGGCCATGTCACTGGTCGGAAGTTAGCATGTGCGCAGACGGCAAATATCCATTGAGTTTGAGCAAAGTGCCCAAAATCACATATGAGTTTCCCATGAAGTGTCTTTCCAATCTTCTTTTTCACTTCCTTTGGATTTTATTCCGCCTTTTGGCATGTTCTCCAACCCTCACCACAGAAATATAAAAAATCACATACTGGAATCCCACCCGCAACCACTCCGAGGCCGTCACCCTTCCAGGCCCGGCAGCCTCATTGTTGCAAGGCGTGATAATATCATTGAACACCCTTCCCTTGAAGCCCTGAAGTTGGTACACAATTTCCTCCATCTCGTCCGTGGCGGCGGGCCATGTTGGGTCGGCTCCAGTCCTGGCCGCCAGCGAGAGCAGGCCGGCCAGGGCGTGATATGCGTTGTATTTCATGATCGGCGTGTGCGGCGTCTTTTGAGGCTTGCGCGAGATCGGGAAACGGTTCAGGACATCAGATCTGGCAGCAGGAGTATGTACGATAACAACGGTCGAGAAGCCCAGCTGAACAACTGCAGTTTGAATGTTTGAAATAATGAGTGATAACAGCTTTGGCTTTGAGGCGTCTGCAAGAGAAGGTATAGGTAAAAAATGAGGAAATGTGGTAGTATCGGGATTGTATGTGCGCCTCGTATTGCCAAACTCGACGACAACACGACAAGATACAACCGCTGGAAGGAGACTTGATGTTATTTCAAGCCAACGGGACGAACAGCAGCTGATATATCACAGCACTCGTTCTTCTCTCGATCAAAGAGAGGAAGAGACTATTATATTACTGCGTCCATGATATGCGCACTGCGACCTATGTTCACCTGTAAGAGGGATCACAAGGCGAAGATGGTACAAGACAGACAGAACAAGGCTTGAGACATGAACATACAACATGGGGGGCAAGAATAAGGTACGAAGAGGGTGGCCTGGAACCTGGACCCGGGGAATCGCAACGCTGGTTGGGAATTGGCTGACCCCTGCATCAGCTTTCCATCGGCACGCACACAACGTCGTCTTCTGTCCAGGATCTGAACCATCCTGATTGGTTCTTGGTAAGACCTTGTCGCTCTTCAGTCTTCTCGTATTATCGCGGACAAGAACTGCATGGCAGGCATGTGCAGCCGAATGGGTTTAAGGCGAGTGAGAAGTGCAGAGCTGACGGCTGTGCAATCGACACGGGGTGGGGATAAGGTGGCAGTGGTGGCTCTTTTCTTTCCAACCACATTGCGGTAGCAAGCGAGAGAACGACCTTGTTGCTTGATACTGTAGATAGTTCAACCACCACCACCACCAACACCATCCACCTCATCGAACGCCAAGCTCTGCCGAGATGCCGAGCCGAAAGACAACGAGGGAACGCCCATTACGACGGCGGCTGTTGATTGGTCTTATTTCCACTTGGACTGCCGATAAGATGATTCATTTTTTGGATATTTTTTTCCAGCCGCATGGCATGGCCCGAAGCAGATGTCCTGATGTGACTCCAGATGTCCACACGGGGAGCGCCACATAACCACCGATGAAGGTTGTTATGACAGATGAAGCCCGAACTGATGGATAGGTGCCAATACCAAACCAAGTTTGGGTTTATTGACCGACCAGATCGAACGTTCCTTGAGACTTTGACAGACAGAACAGGGCAATAGCTGAGTGAGGTAAGATAACGCAAGTGGACACTATCGACTGTTAGTGAGGGTGAAATGCATACCGATAATGTAGTCATCAGTGTGTGATATCTGTGATATGCACTGAGACTCTCCTTCACCGAGCATCGTCGTAATTAGGCCTGTCTGCCTCTGTTCCCCTATCCTTTTACAGAGCGCCATATCGTTGTAGGTAATCGGGCCGGGGGCTTGCTTGCACTGATGGACGAAAGTCGGAAGAGAGCGAGAGTGGTACAGCTGTAGGTAGTTCGGACTTGTCGTTGTGTTCCAATTCTATGCGGTTTGCTATTCCCGTGGTAGCCACGCATGTTTGAGGCTGGGCCTTGAAGTCGGAGCAGAGAAGAGGGTGACCATGCAGAGCTGACAGCATTGTCTCTGAAATTAGATGGCAGAATGTGTGCGTGTGTGTGACGGTGACGGTGACAGTGAGTGACAATGGAGGAGGTGAGCAAGCGAAAGGAATGCTTGAGCCTTTTTCAAAGTTGAGCAACACGAAAGCGGAAGAAAGGGGGCGTTTTCCGAATGGCGAGGACTTGTGAGGAGGTCGGAGAAAAGACGATTATCATTTCATCCACCACATATTCGGCGTGATTTGAGGCTATGTTGTGATATTCAATTTTCAACCCGGATGGACGCCTTGTCAGCTTTGAAGATGCAGTGCTTGGTGACTGTGAAGAGGGGAACAACGGATTGAAACCCCTCATTTGGTGGTTGCTGAGATGTCTACGGCGGGTGACAAAACACCAGGTGCAAAGCTGTGGTCTGTGCGCAAAGCTGCCCCTGCTCCCCAAAACCTCGGATTGCAGATCCCCTTTCCTCCCCACACCAGACGACATCCGTCCCGTCTTCGTAGGGCTGAGGTTGGCAACGACACTCCTCGACAGTCTACTCAGCATTGGGTATTCTACCATGAATTTGCGTTCGACATACACAACCGCCATTGCCTGTCTAACAGGTCCAAAGAGAACTATCCATTCCCCCCCAAGGTCACTCCCCGCTCGGTGACTCCGCGGCCTCTTTTCCTCTCCAGCCAGTACTCCATCGGAATTCAGAACCTCACGAGATCATCAACAGCCTCTCACGATGCATCTGGGCTTTCTAGAAAAATGTCACATGTGAGACAAAAGCTCCCGCCACCGGTACTTATCTACCTCAGATGGATAATGAGGCGTCCCTGGTTAGTAAGTGGCTATAGAGTGGCTTTAAAGTATTGGTGCTACCTACCTGATTCGGGATGCCGGTTTCTCAAAGCTTTCTACCTACAAGACAACCGAGATTGGTGGTGATTCCGCGACATGTCTGTTTGCTCGTCTACCACCCACGTCACAGTGACTGACTGACTGACTGACTGGGCTGGCTGGACCCAGAGTAAGAAAAAAGAAGAAGAAACCAGGCGAGGGGATTCGAATCGGCGACCTTATCAATACGGGCGCTTCACAAGCGTGCACATCGTTAGCGGTCAGCACTTCCTTAGCCAGCTACGGGGACCCTTGCACTAATGGACAGGCACCCTTCAAACCTGCAAACCTCGAGAATGATGGAACATGTATTCTACTCCAACACACAGCTCGGCCATCGTCCCTTGAGGTTCATACGTTAATAAACCTACCATCTGGAGTCCCTCTTGTACCACCAGCATACAACCAAGTAAGTGCCAGGACATTCCTCAGCAGGCACCTACATCCCGGGGTTCCTCAAGTCCTGCTCATGTTAGCAAGGTTCAGTTTGACGAAAATGCCGGATATTTTGATTGCCTTCCCTTGGTGAACGAACAATCCGAAGGATTCATCATCATATGAATCCTGCCGAATTCCCAAAAGCCCGTCGTCCCGCAAATTCTTCATGGCAGGCAGGATCTCACATTGAGAAGAAGCAAGTTGCAACGAACAAGACGGGAAAAGACCAAAAAAAAAAAAAGTCAGAAAGTTTACCCTACCAGGGAGTTGAACCCTGCGCTGCGGAAACTTGATCAACCAAGAGAGAAGATTGAGAATCCGCCATGTTAACCGATACACCAGTAAGGTTGTTTCTTGCTCATCGGAAAGAGATAATGAATAATTCCCTTATGTCCCCCTGTTCTTGTTTGTAGCTGCTTCCTTGGACATACCAATGTCCCCGTTTGTGTGTGGACTCCTCTGTCTTGCTAGGATGGTGACAGAAGGCACGACTGAGCGGAAACACTAAGTCAGTAACTTATCAGCAAGAGCCAATCTGGAGGTGCACACTCACTTAGGTAGACATCAATCACCAAGTCTCCCGCCTACAGCAGTGCGGGTTTCGATGGCCGAGCGCAGATAGCCTGAGGCTCGCTCATGTCACACTCACCACAGGTAGATACCATTAGGAAACCGGCGTATCATAATGGTTTCTCATTGTCCCTGCTTGATATTTACACCTACATAAGAAAGTTCTAACCGAACTTCCAACCGAGCTCTTAACCCTCCCACATAAACACTTTATGCCAACAGGGGCAAAAGATGAAATTGATAACTAAACACTTCACACAATCTCTCAGCGTTCATAGGACAGAACATGACAGCAAAAGGAGAAAAAAGCCAAAAGGCCAGGAAAAGGAAAAGAATGTTCAAAAAAAAAGATTACCCTACCAGGGATTTGAACCCTGCGCTGCGGAAGCTTCATTGCTCGCAAGAATGAGAATCCGCCATGTCAACCGATACACCAGTAGGGTTTACTTTTCTTGCTGGAAATGTTTGTAAGAGGTTTGCTTATATGTAAAGAGACAGTTGTGTGTGGGGAAGGTACGGTAGGCATCCGGGCATGTGGTCGTTTGAGGTGGAGATGTTGAGAGGGAAGAAGCGAGGGGAAACAGGGGCAGTTGTCGACAGGTGGCCATTGGCCAGCATGGAAGGTACGCAAACAACCGTGACCTCTGTCAGGCGGCAGTACAGTAGAAGGTAAGAGTGGGAATGTAGTGAAATGTAGGCTCCCGTGTGGAATGGGGACAAACGTGGAGGATCACGCAGGATCATCAGCAAATAAAACACGGCGCTAAAATCCGTAACGCAAGTTATGTCGGTTCGGATCGCGATGTTACGGGACCCGTACCTGTTCTGATGCTGGAATGGAGGAGAATGCAATGGCACATTATCTCATCTCACAAAATGCAGATTTGGTCTATTCTGGGACTGAGTATGTGTGAAATGACAATTAATTATCATTCTTGGAATGAAGACTATTTATTACAGCTAGGAGAGAGGAGAAAAGACAGGAAGGAAACGGGATCATGAGAGCCATTAAAGTGATTATTCGTACAACAAAAGAGAGAATGTCGACGACCAGACAAACAGACAGACAGTTTTAGGTGTATAGTAATACAAGAGACAAGGAAAAGAAAATAAGGTATTCATCAATCATTCATTCATTCATTCATTCTCAATTACCCATCCATCGGGACGCCATCCATCGGGACGCCCCTAAAAGAGCCGAGTATCAATCTTCAGCAAACCCAAGAATAAGAAAACCATTAACAAAATTCGGAAAATAAATGAAACCACAATTTCCCATGCTCAAGAAGAAGAAGAAGAAGAAGAAGAAGAAGAAGAAGAAGAAGAAGAAGAAGAAGAAAAAACACCAAAAAACCTGACACCCACTTACATATCCTCCTGATCAAAATTCTCCGAAAACCTACTCTCCCTAAACGGACTAATCCTCCCACACCCACTAATCGACTGATTCCCCACACTCAGTCCGCCCGAACTCACCGGCCTCTTCTCAGCAGATCCAGATCCAGACCTCATACTTCTTCTTCCACTCATACTCCGCCCCGCCCCCTCATATCCCAAAAAAGCACCACCACCACCACCACCACCACTCCCCGTGCTCAGCGCACCGCCGCTAGCCCTAGGATCAGAAGCCATCAAGAACTGCGAGTGCTTTTCCTCGCTGTTGACAGCGGGAGTAGGCTGCGTGATGGCCACCTTCATCCCGTTCATTACCATAGGGAACCCGGCAGATGGGAGTGTGAGCGGTCCGTCGCTGGAGAAGGTACTTCTTGCTTCTAGGAACTCGTCGGCGTCGTTTTCGTTTTCGTTGTCTTGGTATTGAGCATGAGGTGAAGCGTTATCGCTGACAGTGCTGTAAACGCTATCGCTTAGGTCTGAGCTGCTCAGGCTGCTGACGGACCTGGTTTCGCCTGCTTCGCCGGCTGAGTTGGCAGTGATGGTCGCGGTGACGTAGGGGAGGACGACTTGCGGTTGCGGTTGCTGTATCTGCACTGGGTAGGGAGAGCGATCTCTAACTGTCGGCTCGGTGGTGGTGGTAGTCCTGGTGGTGGTGACGGTAGCCACTGCGTCGAAGCCACCGATGGCGCTGATGGGGCGAGAAGATGTCTTCAGGGCGGTGGTGCCTAGGGCTCCGGCGGAGCGATCAGGGACAGTATAAAGGCCACTGCTTTCACCGGGTTCGTCTTGCGCCGCCGCCGGCAGGTTAATAGCTGGTGTCATTGTTGTCGATTGGACGGGTGTCGGCGCTGAGAGCCCGGCGAGGGCGACTTCGCGGATACTTCCCGGTCCGCTGTGGTCGTCTCCGACGACTGAGGGGACACTGGTGTTATTCTCACCAAGCTTCCGAGTAAGGGCCACGCCACCGATGAAGCCCCTGTTCATATCAGGGCTGGCAGCGTCGGCAGCACCGTCTGCCGTTGTATCGATTCTCGACGAAGCGACAGATGCGCCGGATGCCGCTCTGGGACGAGAGAAACGGTTCTTTAGCCAGGCTTTCACCTTGCTAGTTGGCGAGGCCGCCGATTGCGGTTCCAAGATGGGACTCGCTCCTCCGTCTGGTGTTATTGAGCCCCTCTGGGGAGGCGATACGCGTCTTTGGAACGGCATGGACAACCTGGTCAGTCCCGAACTGTCTGTCCTCCTATGGGCAACTGCATTCAGTGGAGGAGCCGCTGGCTTCTCGTCCGGCGAACTTTGGTCCAAGTCAGCAGCCACGGCAGAGCCTTTCCCCTTTTCAATTTGCTTTTCCTCCTTGGCTTCCTTAACCAGACGCTTCTGCTCAGCTCTGGCCGCCTTCTCCTCCTCCTTTCGCTGCCTTTCTTCTCTCTTCACTTCTGCCGCTAGAGCCTTCTCCTTGTCTTTTTGCTGATCTGTTAATCATTCGTGTTAGCCTCTTACCCCTGATACTACCACCAGGTAACGCAAAAAACCTACCTTTCAACTGCTTATGCAACATCTGCACCTCCCTCTCTCTCATCTTATACTTCTCGATCTCCTCCCTCTTCCTCTCCTCCTCCAGTTTTATTGCGGCCCGCCTCTCCCTATCCCTCTCCGCATGATCATTAATCTCATCCAGCAACGGCTGCACCCTCTTCGCCGCAATAACCTCCACCTCGGCCCTGTCTACCATCTTGCCTCCGCCAATGTCCACTTGATCCGCATCCATCGGCCTTCGGCTATTGCTCGCATCGAACCTCGCCTGCGCCGCCGCATGCGCCTTCACCTCCCAATCACTCTTGCTCGTATGCGGAATCGTCATCCCTTTCTCCGCGTACAGCTTATCGTCCACCCCTGCAGCTGCGCTTTGACGTTGCGCTGGGCGGCTTGCAAAAGCGCCTCACGGTCGCGCGCCCGCTTCTGCTCGTCGACTTCGGCAACCTTGGTGTTGAAGAGGGACATTTGCTTGCGGATGTGTTGGGAGCGTTGGCGGTCGTTGGCGACGATGATGTCGCCGTCGCTAGAGGACCGACGTCTGGTGAGCCTGTTGCGGATGCTGCCAAATGCGCCTGCGTTGTTGCCCTGGCTAGTGGAGGGGGAAGTGCCCGTATAGTATTCCTGCATCTCGCGGTTCTTTTGGTGTTGGTCATGCAGTTTGGCGAGGCGTTCCTGCGCGAGACGGTAGGCGGCATCTTGGAGGCTATTGTACACCATCGGAGTGCGTTCCACATCGTCGTTGGTGGCTGTTGGGTCGTCGGTACCGTGGCGCTCAAATGAGGACCTGCGTCCTTGGACCTGCTTGGACTGGTCGATCATCTTTTGTTGCTGGGTGTACATGCGCTTAGCCATGGCCAAAGCGGAAGCGTGGAGAACGTCTTGCCGGTTCTTTTCGTCCACCTCGGGCTTGACAGGGGGTCGGGATGTGAACATTTGTCTGCTCATGGTCGTGTAGGGTACGGCACCGGCTTCTTCGGTCGGAAGAATACTGGGCGGGCGCATCGACCTGGTCGCGGCGCTGAGGGCATTGGAGGCTGCGTTTTCTTTATCGGGGTATGCGGTGTTGTCGGTTACTGGCTGGGGTTGCGACCTCGATCGCGGGCGTCGTCCGGCCACGGCATCCCTTGCTGCACTCAGTGATGCTTGTCGTGTCAAGGCGGAACCTTGTGTCTCTTGGACAGTCGGGGTAGAGGAGGTAGTAGGTGATTTATGTCCCTTGAAGGCCAAATTCGCAGCCGAGTTCCCCCAGTTTGAGGCATCCAAAGTAGGCTTAGGCAGTTGAGGCTGGACTTGTTGCTGTTGCTGTTGCTTCTGTTGGAATATCTGCTTCTGCTGTCTTTGAGCTGCACGCAAAGCGTAGATAGCCGCCTGTGACCCTGCTACACTGCTCTTGGGTTGCGATACCTCCAACCCGTTACTTGTCGGTGACGCCATCTTTTGGCCGTTAGCCAGCACGGCAGCGGTATTAGCGTGAGAAGCGTGTGTTTTTGATAACTCTGCCTTGGGATGTTCAACTACTTTGGTGTTGTTCCATCCCAGAGTCGCAACTGAAGACGCAGGAGCTGTTGATATCTCTGGTTTTGGGTATTCGACCAACTTTCTGTTAGCCCATCCCAAAGATGCGGCGGCACTAGCAGCTGCGTCGTTGTTTTTGAGACCGGAAGACGGGTAGCTAGGTAGGTCTTTGGCGTCTGCGTATCGTAACTTTCCCGTGTTGTCTTTACAAGGTGGTCAGCAAGGACCTAAGCGGGTGATGTTTGGGGATTCAGGTCGAGGACGAGATGTGCGGGTGTCATGCCACCGACTGACATGTACCACCTGATGAACGCGCGGACTTACTTGGAGGAGGAACGAGCGCTGTTTGGGCCATGGCTTATGTATGGTTACTGTAACCAAGACCAAGGCTCAAACGAAAAGTCAAAAAGACCAGACGAGCCGGCTAGGTATCGGATGTCGGGAACTGTGGGGTATCCGGTTTGGTGATGGTCCACTGCGGATTGAGGCTGTGAAATCTTGAAATCTTACAGGTCCTTTGCGTTTCGATGAGTTGTTTGATGTTTTGGCTTCTACTTGACGATTGGCTTTGTACAATGATGTGTCGCGTGTTGGAGTAACCTTCTTACTCTGTAGGTTTTCGGTATAATAATAGCTTTGGTAATAAGAATGTCGATCAGGATGTCCAGGCTTTTTAGAAGAAAACGAGTGGTTACGCCGATGTGGAGGATTACTTGTAAGTATGCGGCATTGAATCGATGTTTTGGTTTTCGGTTGGAGATGGGATGACAAACAGGAAGAGAAGTCAAAAGTGAAACGAATGGAGGAAATAAGGGTAGCACCAATACTTCTACTTCTGTCTCTCCTCTTTTTTCCCACCAAAACGATCATGTCTTATTAGGTACAGGCTCTATGATGCCAATCCCGTCGTGTTCCTCCCGTCATTACAAGGCTGGCTTCCATTCTTGGCTGGGCCTGGTTGCTGCGACAAAGAGGGCGACGGTTCCTTTCCTTCCACTTCCCACACACGTCGTCATGCGCCGAGACAGCAATCGCTTCCTTCGCCCACCGACGTCATTGCTCACCAGTTTCAGAACGGTGGGTGCCGCTCAGCCATGCCCTCATTGGCTGGCGAGATCCATTTAAGTGTGATGCCGAGACGCCAACGCTGCGTATCATTCGGTCGGCAGCTGTTCTCCACCGGATCCACCGGGAATTGGTAGCTGCCAAGGCCCTGCGCCAGTTGGCCAGAACTTCTGCTTCAGCTCACCCACAAAGGCAAGGGGACTTTTTTCAGGGACTTGCCGACCTCGCCGACTTCACCGGGAACTTCACCTGACAAAGAAGCTGATGTGAGGTCACGCCGCCTTAACAAGCCACTGCACTAAAAGCTGCAGATGTCTTCGTGAGGCTATTCCGAGCTTGTTTTGGTATTTTAACCCCCGCCGTTTCTGTTCAACTTTTCTTCAGACAATAATGCGCCGCATCCCTGGGCTCGATATAGCTCCCTGTTCCTACCATTTATCCCTCCTTACCTTGAAATATCACGACCAGATCAGCATTGACAGTCAACCGTGTTTCACAAGGGCATCCTATTTCGACCAACCCGGCTATCACGGGAACACCTAACAAGAAGCTAAAGCTCGAACTTGAGGTATCGAAAGAAATGGCTCACTCGGTTGTGTTTCAGTAGCGTAACGGTACCTGTAGAGATACCCCCGCCAAAACCAAACCCTAAAGTTCGACAATCCTCCACACTCAAAGATCACCAACCCAGGAACCATCCCGCTTCCCCTCCAGCATATCAGCCTTCAAAGCCTCCTCAACGTCAATCACCTTCGTTGTCGCCGACTCCTCTTCCATAAACCTCAGCGCTTCCACCGCCTTCCCACCACACGCCCTCTCCAGCGCCAGGAAAGCAAAGTGACCACCCACCACCGGTCTTGCCATAAAGTAAATACCCGGATATCCACCGTTACCTTCGGTATCGTAGAGATCGGTTAGAGGACGGTCTATTTTTTCACATATGATCAGTCAATCAGTCAATCAGTCTTTCATCCATCCAGCCAGCCAGAAAAAAAAAAAAGGCACGAGATGATTTTTTTGGAAAACGAAAAAGGGGGGGGGAAAGGAGAAGGAGGAGCCATGGACCACAGCACATACCAGTAACAGTCTCATTAACCCACAGGGAAATGACCTCCAACATCTCCATCCTCGTCTTCTTCCCCGTCACTGCCGCCGCAAAAAACTCCCAATCGCTCTTGGTGTACAAGTGTCGAGAGTCGAGCGGTAGCCCGTACTTTTGTAGCACGGCCGAGTACCAATCGCTTTGCATTTGGTAGACTTTGTCTGGGATGAAGGGCTTTCCAGTGGTGGTATCATCATTACCGTCGCCGTCATCTCCACCGCCGCCGCCGCCGATGGGTTTCTGGTCTCCTCCAGTGGTGCCGAACCAACGCCCAAAGCCCCTCTTTCTTCGTTCATCTCGGTCCTGATGATCATCCTTGGTGGACGAAGACGAAGAAGAGGAAGAAGAAGAAGAAGAAGAAAAAGAAGAAGGAACATGGAAACACAACAACGAATCCGCATAAAGGTTATAGATCGTCGTCCACGATCCATACCACGTATACGCCAACTTGGCGTGGGTCTGGTCTCTCGAGATGCCGTACTCCTGCCACTTGTCAATATAAGTAGCCGCAATTTTGCGGTAATGCTTCGCCTCGTCCTCGTGGCCGACAATGTCCGCTATCTCGCTCATGGCCTTGATGCCGATGATCCCTTTGAGCGCCAGGTTCGTCTGGTTGGCCAGCCACCCGGCAAAGTCATCGGTGCACAGCTGGTTGTGCGGAATCAGCGATTCGCGAACGAGGTAGCCGGTCCATTGCTTCCAGAGAGAGTAAGAGCGCGTAAGCCATTTCTCTGCGGCTTTGGATCCGGTGGTTTGCAGATCGGTTTTGCGGTCGCGGTAGCCGCGCAGGTCGAAGCCGTATTTGTCTACCGAGTGTGACCAGTCTTTGGCTGAGGAGATGGCGTTGGCAGGGAAGTTTTGAGGGGCGGCGGCTTGAACGAAGGCGGGTTCGGTATCGTAGCGGAAGGCATTGGCGAGGGCCAGTCCCATGATGAGCATGTTGCCGCATTCTTCGACGGGCATGTACTCATCGTTGCCGTCGCTGTGACCGGTAGCGTTGGGGAAGTGCGCACCGAGATCATGCATGCTGTAGTCATTCGGGTATTGACCGCTGAGCTGGTGCTCAAGCAGCGGCTCAAGGAGGTAGCCGAGCCACTTGGGATTAGTGTACAGGAAGAAGGGAAAGGCAGGGAAGATGACATCCACGGTCTGGAAGTTGCCGTTTGACGAGATCTCCTTGAGGAAAATGATGGGGTCGTCGGGGGTGCCGGAGAACTGAGTGGCACCGAGCACCTGACGGGCAGAAAGCGCGGCGATATCCTGGTAACTCTCCGATCCGGACTCGAAGGCATCGCGAGCGAGCGAGTCGGAGTAGTTCCGAGCCAGCCAAGATGCAGTCTTGAAGTCGTCGTAGTGGTACCGGACCAGCTCGTCAGGCGAGGCGAAGTGGGATGCCCAGAGCGGTTTCATGAGTGTCAGACCCCTAGCGGAAGCGAACTGCACCACCGGATCCTGGATAAGAGCAAAGGTGAACACCACGCTGTCTTCTGTCTTTGAACAGCCCTTCTTCTTGGAGTAACCAGCCAGTTTGAAGGTCTTTGCGAAAGCGAACACGGGCTCTTCTTGCATGATGCGACGGAAGTCCCGGTCAATCTGGTTTCTCAGATAGCCCTTTTCAGCAAAGTGTTGACGAAGAAGGCCAGAGGTGCCCGCTTCATGTTGGACATCAGCTGGACCGGTGAAATGCAGGGTTCCCCATTCGGCGTGGTCGTTAAACTCGGTCAAGTGCTGCTCTGTTTGGCGGGTCCACTTCCACGTCTTGATGGGTGTCGCATCCTCGGAGCTTTCCTCTGGTATCTTGGGCTCGTGCAGATCCCACTTGATCTCGTTCGCCCTGTTCCCGCTAACCCATTCACCATTGGCGTCGGTGTAAATCGTGACATCAAAGCAGCCCTCGGCAATGACGGTCAGATACGCGGCAGGTATTGACTGTCTGAGGGTAGATGATGGGGTGATGGGAGAGAGGAATGAAAGCGTGACTTTCACTGGTTCGTCGTTGGAAGATCCGTGGAGAAGGTAAGTCAGGTTCGTAGTCGAGGCGTCAAAAGTAGGTCCTAGGTATTCGGGCAAGGTGATGTTGTAGAGCTTGTGGCCGTGCTGGAGGGAATCATGAGGTCGTCCGATGAGAGGATATATCTTGCCAGAGTCTGGTACGGCTGCCATCACTGAGAAGCCGAGCTATACCGGTTTGGCAGTTTTAGCTATCTTGCTCGTCTCAAACCGGATGAATACTTACATGAGACCCAGTCCAGAACATGGGCCAATCCTCCCATGGTGCTTTTCGAGCATTTCCCAGCCATGTACTAAGGTACGGGTTGCGGACAAACAAAGGCAGGACATTGGGCGTAAGTGTTGATGCGCTGGCTACGGCGGCCAGCGCCAGGATATCGAATCTCATGTTGGGAGAGGTGTGGTTCTCTCAGGATTTACTGTCTCGCTGCCATAGGATTGATTTTGCAAGCGACTGTTGTTGGGAACAGGCAGAGCCGTACTCTATGAAATGTCACGATTTGGACCAGCGGAAAGGTGAACAACCAAGAGGGAGAGCAAATAGGTTTAAAAGATACTTTATGAGGGCTATACGAAAGGATACTCAAAGATGGCGATGTCCAACCCCGTGTTGAACAAGAGTGATACTGGGCCGTGAGGTTTGGAAAAGGATAAAAAAGGTTTCAAATTCCTTGGAGTTCGGGGAAGGGGGAAGGGGCCATGTTTAAGGTGAGCATATCGGCTAGAAGGTGGACTGGCTCAGCCGGGAAGCCAAGCCGTTCCTCCTCCAACCGTCCTTCATGTCGCCAATGATCGAGTTGACCTGACGACGATCCTGTCGGACGAGGAGGGAGGTGAGGGGGAAATAAGTAAGAGACAGGGGTCAGGATCTCGTGCCCCTCCTCTTCTCCAAATCCGTCTTGGGGACTGCCCTATGAGAAGAACATGACAGGGGTTCTCCGCACTTGGTCCCAACGGAGGGTGGGGGACTTTCGCGTTCCCGTCATGCGGACCCGCTGCGGGAGCGAGTGGAAGCGGGGGAAGGACTCCACCCTGTTGTGTTCGAGCATCCTTCTCGTGCTTCTGTTCAACCTTTGTGGCCTTCTCAACTCGAAAGATGGAGGGTGGAAGGAATCTTGGGATCGGAATTTAAGTACACAGCATGTGCTTGTGACTGACAGGTGGGTGGCACGGCAGCAAGGGCTAGTACAAACATGCACATTGAATGGTTGAGGAAGCCATCGCCAGCTTTGCTTGAACTTTGAAGTGTCTATTATCATCAATACGTATTGACCGGCTAGCAACCTAGCAGTTGCTCGACATTAAACTATCTGTTCTATTCCAAACAAGGCTGACTGGATCACCATGGAACATTGCTTGGTCTCCTCCTTTTAGGTGACCGTATGAAACATTGTATGTCATAATGACTTAAAGTCAACTTTCAGCTTCGGCCGAAGAGATGTGCCGAGATTATCCAGATTGTATTGCGGTTCCTACTATTCTCCCAAGTGTACGTATAATACACTAGCAAGATGGCCGAGAAAATAGACCGGTTGTCAGGCAAAGATAGGAAGACGATGGGGAGAAGTGGTGCTACAGACACAGGCACACACTTGCTGCCATTCACACCTCGATATCATCGATACCCTCGATAACCATTCCCAGCGCATTCGGTACTCCCACAAGAATTTTTCCCTTGGGTACCCTCACACTCTTCACATTCATGCAGCCGAAAACATTCAGCTCATGGATATTGGGGCAGCACTTGAAAATACTGCCAACAATGAAATCCGACACTTCCTCGCAGAAGCTGATCTCCAGCTTCTTCAACTCTGGATAGACCTTCTTACCATTCGAGGGAAACACCTCCTCAAAGGCTTTTGCTGAGATGTGTCTGCACCCGTGCACATTCAGATGCTCAATCTTCCTTCTGGAATGCGCCATCAATGCCTTGAAGCCTTTGTCGCACAAGCCGATCTTGTCCGGGTTCTGGCGCGGGTTTGCCGAATCAACCTGTCGACACTTTTGCAGGTCGACAAACTGTAAGGACTTGTTCTCCCAGTTGGTAAAGAGACGGGCAAAGCCTTCGTCTGTCATGACCTCGCTGTCGGTAATACGCAGTTTCTGCAACGAGCGGCAGTGGTTGTGTATAGCATCCAAGACGGTGTTGTTGAGATCGATCTCGCGTGTGATAGAGAATGTCTCCAGATTTTTACCGATGGAGGAGAGAACGCTGACGTAGACATCAGAATGGACGTGATTTCGCAGATCGATACTGATGTGCTTGAGGTGCTTGAGCTGGGCGAGGTGCTTTATGCCTTCGCCGGTGATCTTCTGGTTATGGCACGCTTTGAGGCGGACCAAAGAGGGACATGATGAGGGGAGAGCTTCCAGGGCGGAGTCGCCAAAGTGTTTGTCTGTCCAGTAGACACGGAGAGATTGTAGGGATTTTCCCTTCTTTCCGAGAAACTCGAGCCATTTCTCTTCGTCAATGAGGTTGGAGCCGTGAAGGTAAAGGTCCTCAAGTTCTGTCTTACGAGAGATAAGGAAGTCCATAACTTCGTCTTTGAAGTGGATAGCGTTTCGTGCTTTCAACTTCTTCAGCCCTGGTACTGTCTGGAAAATACGAATGTAGTCGTCGGCGGATAGCTTGGCACCATCGTAGATGCAGACCTCATCAGTTGTTGGTTGCAAAAACAGACTGAGTGTTGTGGAATTCAGAAGTCTATGCTTCGATAGCTTCCGGGCGATTTTGTCGATGACTTGCTGAGGGAGATCACCTAGATCCTCGGCCAGGTCGATGTTCTTGGCCAGAGTCTCGATGCAGAGCGTCATCAGGCTCTTGGCTCCAAGTTGAAATGTGCCGTCCAGGATTTTGCTCTGGATCTGTCGACGCCTTCCTACTGGACCGGCAGCAGCACGCTTGGCAGGCTTTTTCTTCGGTGGTGCATCCTTGTCCATTTCCTTTCCACAGGGACCACACAACAGTCCTCCGTCGGGATGGTTGCGCGAGTATGCCGTGACAGTGAACCTCTTCCCGCAGTTAGCGCAGTTGTCCATCTGGCCCGGTAGAGGAGCGCGCTCCTGAAGCAGAGTGTCGAGCAAATCGTCATCTTCGTCATCCCCGTTTGCGTTCCGTTTTCGTTTCTGATAATTTTTGCTGGCTTTGATTTTGTCAATGACCTTTTGGTCCTTCTGCCGTCGGGATGTCCTGGTTGTGACGGTGACAGAGGTTGTGACCGTAGATGACTCTCCCACTTCATCTTCCGCAGCCTGCTGCTGGTCAGAGGAGCTAGCGCCATTCTCCTCTTCTGCTGCTCTTCGTCGTGCATCTGCTTCAAGACGAATCTGATTTGCCGAGATATTGTGCGACTGGATACAAAATGTCAGGATTTTTGGCAACATGCGGGATCTCCCCATGCTGGGTCACTTACGGCCAAGAAATCAGTTAGAGCCGATTGACTGCGAAACGTGTTAGCATTTTGATCGTTCTCCCAAACAAGGAAGAAAAATGGGGAAAAAATTATAGGAACTTACGGTCCCCTAATCTGTCGGCCCGCCCTGTTACTTTGCTGTCTCGACCTGGTGGGTGCTGTTAGTGATGATTTTCTGATCGATGACCGACAACTTCAGCTTACATTTTAGCTGGGCCGTGCACCGGCGAGAGTTCCCTGATGTGATCTAGGCTAGATAGGTGAGAGTACTGTAAGTCGAGTAGGAAATGCGTACAACTTCTGGACGAGCGACGAGAACGAATGGAGGTCTCCAGATGAGGAAACAAAAGACAAACGCAAGAGGGGCGATGTTTGGGGAAAGTTTCGGGCAAAAAGAAAGGTGAAGGGAAAGCACGACACGGCGATACGGGGAGTGAATGGAACTTGCCTGCGGACGTGTTGAGGGGCAAATTCAATCAAAGTTTGCGACAAAGACAAGTACCTTTTTTAGTAGTTTGCACCGTGCCAAGGGAGGGACATTCCCTAAAAGAGCTGTTACTGCCTGAAAATGGGACCAATTGTTGTCTGATGGACCAATCAGATCATTGGAAGGTCATGTGCCCTCGCGTTAAGACGACGCGCGCTTTTCCTGTTCACAGTGGGAGAGTGACGGATCATGTCTTTGCTTTGTAACACAAGTGGAAGCTGCGTCGCCCACTCGGCAAAGCTGAAAGACCTTTGAAGCTGCCGGTGAATGGAAGGCGCGGTGGCGATAAGTCGTCTCGACTTCCGTTAACGCGACGGGAATTTTCTCGTGCATCTACATTTCCATCTTATTCCTCCTGTCCGTCCTCTGTGATTCACTGCCTCCTCCCGGACCACTTGTTACAGGGTGTCCTCTTCACTTCCATCGGGTCATCCGCTTCGACACTAGGGGAGCACAGGACGTTACGTCTTCAGTCTTTCTTTTTTTTTCCTCCTGGGAACTTCACCGCTCGTTTATCGGTGATCTGATTGTCTGGGTTTTACTTGTTGCCTGTCTACCATTTTGTTGGCCAGGCACAATACCCTACCTTCTTCAGGCCGTTCCCCCGCAGTCCGATACCTTGACTTTATTTGTCCATCAAATTTAGGGCGATTCTAGCACCCCCCGCTTTGTCGAAACAACATCTCAACAGAGGCACCTTGTCGAATTCGCCTCGGTGCTGTCCTGTCCATTTTCTCAGCTTGGGTCAACTTGTTTAACAAGGCCGACTACTTGAACCGAGACGATGGTTCGCACCAGAAGATCCATGGCTGCCGCCGGCGAGGTTGTTGGTAGGTTTCCCAATGAAGCTCTATCCTCTCGGTCATAGTGGCGATAGAATGGCATATGGTCTGGATATGATTATAGACTGACATCAATATCACAGTAGCAGCACTTCCTCCCGCGGAAACCAAGAAGCCTCGCGGTCGCCCTCGCAAATCAGCCACCCCAGCCGTTAGTGTCACGGCGTCTTCTGTACCGACGCTGGCGACATACACATCTGGTAGTGAGTATGCTACGCCACTTACCAGCCATGGCGCGACCCCGACGCCGTCTCTACTCAAGGAGAACGTACAGTCCACCAGGTCGACCCGGTCCGCTTCCAAGATTGAAGTGGCTATACCCGTTCTCAAGGCCTCACATGCTACGCAGATAATGCTTCGCAGTAGCACCTCTGTTACGACCAGCAAGCGGAAGAGAGATGTGGTAGCGGACAGCCAAGAGGATGACTCCGATGATGGTCATGACGCAAAACTTGCGCGAATGCTTCAGGACAAGGAAGATGCAAAGATAGCATCATCATCCAAAACATCCTCTTTCCGAGTTGATCGTTTGGGCAGTACCCCGCGTAGCACACGGCCTACTCTTCGGGTCAAACATAATGCTTCGAGCAGCAAGTTTAAAAAGGAGGTCATTGCGGATAGCGAGGAAGATGATTTTGACGATTCCCCCGACGCTATACTTGCCCTGAAACTTCAGGCCGAGGAATACGGAGACGAAGATTCCGAAGAGGAAGCGACTACGTCTAAGTTTAGGGCACTTGGACTTCGTCGCAGTTCGAGAGGCCTCAACTCGTCTCCAGTCCGGGCGTCAATGTCTAGCAAAGCCACAAGCAAATCCACCGCCGTTGCAAAAGGAAAGCAGCCTGTGCTTCTACGGAACTCCACTAGGCGTGGTGTTACAGAGTCTTCCATCCAAGTTCCTCGGTTTAGGACAGCCAAAGATCTGATTGCTGATTCTAAGGAAGAGGTTGATACCTCTGGTTCTCTGTCGGCCTTCGAGTCTGACGAGAACGACAGCGATGTCATTATCCAAGGAGGTCGCCCTTCCGTGGCCCAAAAGGGAAAAGGGAAGGCAAAGGCGCCCCCGCCAGAGTCGGAGGATGAGAACGATAGCGACGATTCTGCCCAGCCCCTCAGCAGGCGCTCTCGTAAGGTTCGTCCTTCCGCAGCCCAGAAAGGAAAAGGAAAGGCAACCGAGGCCCAGAAGGGCAAGGGAAAGGCAAAAGCAACCCAGCCTGAGTCGGAGGATGACTTTGACCTAGACGTTACTGGTTCTCTCGAGTCGGAGGTCGAGTTTGATCTAGACGGTGCTCTGGACGAGTCGGAGTTCGAGATTGACATGTCGCTGCCAGACGAGGACCCTGAGTTTCTTATTCCGACCGGTTTGGAGGGCTTGGCAGACGCGAGCGACGCCGATGAAGATGCCAATTTGGGCACCCACATCGCAGAAGCTGGTGAGGGTCTCGATCGTATCAGGGCCCAGATGAACAACCGACGTGCGTATCGATCGTATCGGAGCGATCGGCGCATTAAGAATGACCGATCCCGTCTCGAGAGACAGCATCCCGAAATCAAGACGATGTGGAAAGATCTGGAGAACATGCCCGTTTTGAAGGCTGGTAAGGCGGAACAGCCAAAGTCCATTTCACGACAGCTGAAGCCCTTCCAGCTTGAAGGGTTGGCGTGGATGACAGAAATGGAAAAGACAGAGTGGAAGGGAGGACTTCTCGGTGATGAGATGGGCCTGGTACGTTGTGGCTCCTTCCTCGGTTCATTTTAGTTTCTGGGTGCTAACTGCCTCTGTCACCTCATAGGGTAAAACGATTCAGGCTGTGTCTCTCATAATGTCCGATTATCCCGCTAAGAAGCCTTCCCTCGTTCTTGTGCCTCCTGTGGCCCTGATGCAGTGGATGACGGAGATTGACTCATACACCGACGGTACGCTGAAGACACTCGTCGTTCACGGCACTAACTCCAAGTCCAAGAATCTCACCGCCAAGGACATCAAGAGTTATGATGTGATCCTCATGTCTTACAACAGCTTGGAGTCCATGTACCGAAAGCAGGAAAAGGGCTTCAAGCGCAAGGAGGGTCTCTACAAGGAGAAATCCGTCGTTCATCAGACCGAGTGGCACAGGGTCATCTTGGACGAAGCACATAGCATCAAGAGCCGCACAACGATGACGGCTAAGGCATGCTTCGCCCTCAAGGTTACCTATCGGTGGTGTCTCAGCGGAACACCTTTGCAAAACCGCATCGGAGAGTTCTTCTCTCTAATCCGCTTCCTCAACATTCGGCCATTTGCATGCTATTTGTGCAAAGGATGCCCCTGCAAGACTCTCGAATGGGGCATGGACGAAGACAACAGGTGCAAGGGTTGCAAGCACAGTGCCATGCAACACGTTTCGGTGTTCAACCAAGAACTCCTCAACCCCATCCAGAAATACGGAAACCGCGGTGAGGGTGCTTTGGCCTTCAAGAAGCTACGGACCCTCACGGACCGCATCATGTTGCGGAGACTCAAGAAGGACCACACCAATGCAATGGAACTTCCAGTCAAGGAGATCAACGTCGAGCGTCAGTTCTTCGGAGAGGTAGAGAACGATTTTGCAAACAGCATCATGACAAGCGGCCAGCGAAAGTTCGACACATATGTGGCCACTGGTGTGCTGCTGAACAACTACGCCAACATCTTTGGCCTTATTATGCAAATGCGACAGGTCGCTGACCATCCGGATCTGATCCTGAAGAAGAACGCTGAAGGTGGTCAGAACGTGCTCGTGTGCTGTATCTGTGACGAGCCTGCCGAAGATGCCATTCGCTCCCGTTGCAAGCATGACTTCTGCCGTGTTTGCGTCAAGACGTATGTGCATTCGGCTACGGATCCGAACTGCCCTTCTTGCCACATTCCTCTTTCTATCGACCTGGAGCAGCCCGAGCTTGAGCAGGACGAGGTTCAGGTCAAGAAATCATCCATCATTAATCGGATCAAGATGGAGAATTGGACTTCGTCATCCAAGATTGAGTTGTTGGTGCACGAACTCCACAAGCTCCGATCCGATAATGCCTCCCACAAGTCCATCATCTTCTCCCAGTTCACCACTATGCTCCAGCTTATCGAGTGGCGCTTGCGCCGTGCCGGTATCACTACCGTCATGCTTGACGGCAGTATGACTCCAGCCCAACGCCAGGCTTCGATTAACCACTTCATGAAGAACGTGGACGTTGAGTGCTTTTTGGTGTCCCTAAAGGCAGGAGGTGTCGCTTTGAACCTCACTGAGGCTTCGAGGGTTTTCATTGTCGATCCCTGGTGGAATCCAGCAGCGTATGTTTACCCTTCACCCGTAGTCTGAGAAACGTGTTGACTAACAAAAGTATAGTGAATGGCAATCTGCCGACAGATGCCACCGTATCGGCCAGAGCCGCCCTTGTACAATCACCCGTCTTTGCATTGAGGACTCGGTTGAGAGTCGTATGGTTCTTCTGCAAGAGAAGAAGACCAACATGATCAACTCGACCATTAATGCCGATGATGCCGCGATGGATTCGTTGAGTCCTGAGGATTTGCAGTTTCTGTTTAGAGGAAGCTAAGGACATCGCTCTTCGGCATAGTGTGTTGCATCTGTGGAGTTATTAGGTTTTATGGTCAAAGATCTTGCGACTATTTTAGCCGTGCGCAGCCTTACGACCTCTTTGTGTGTTCTATCAAAAGGGCATGTCATTCTACAGTTCTCAGGAAGCTAGACGGATTAGGATGGGTTGGCCATGTTAAGGTGTTACTTACATCCGAGCCATCGGGACAAGGTTTCCCTTGCATTTTGCTCTGATGGCTCTTCACTTTGTCAGACTGGGATGCTCAATGTTCGAGGCGCCTGGGTCAAGGTAGAATTCAGTCGTATATATATATGGCTAACTTGGCTAAAGATTGGAAACTGTCTGCTATATCTTATAGGATGCGAGCAAATGTAATCCAGTCTCAAGGTAACAAGTTAGATCAGGAAAAGCCACGCTATGTGGTCAAGGCTAACTGTAAAAGGAATAGAATTCTACAAAATATAACGATGTTGCCGGATGTGATGGACAGGAGTATACAACATGTCAGGACTTGAACATTAGCTGCTTATGTGGACGACATGAAACCAGTCAACATTCAATCACTCTACCTACAGAGACGAACCATTTCTTTTGCTGGATACAAGTGTCCTGTCCTCTTTTATGATCATCTCTTTGATAGCCTTCTAACCATGTGACTTACTCAAGCACGCGAAAGATATGGACGCGGCCATGATCTCGTCGTAACCACACGCTGACGAAGGTCACGTTGAGGACGGGAGAACCCACCAGTCAGTGCCTGAGTATCAATCAGGTTTTCAATATTCGTGTGCTCGTTTTCTTATATAATATATCTGTGGTATCCTTGTGCGTTGCATACTTAAGGTTGCTATTTTGTACCTACTACTTGATGTTCGTTGTCTCCCAAGTCCAAGGTACTTTCCTTTTCGTTTCACCTTTAATGTTAATGCTTGCTTCAGTAATTTCCCCCTCCTCATCTCGTTCTTCTATGCTAAGTTCCTCTTCCACTTTCTTTCTATCAATGTCTCTCGATCTTCTTCATGTTTCTGCTGGCTTGTTTGTTTTTTTTCGCCTGCAGACGGGACCGGAGGCATGGACGACCTATGAGTTCGGTTGCTCGCTCTTTCGTGATTACTCTTCGTCGCATGTTTGCACTTCAGTTTGCGTACTAGGTACTACTCTCTTACCGCAAATATGTGGAAGGAAGGAAGGAAGGGTTCAGCAGGCCTGAATTGTCAGTTTGTCACGACCCAGTTTTTGCAAGATTTCAAAATTAACCCCCAGTCTAGAGGTATCGAGGTCTCCGATCATGGTGATGGCTATGGCTGCATTGAACTGACTCGCGATGAGCATTAGTCTTCCATTCTTAGTACTTTTCCACGACAGGGGACTTTCAAGGTTTCTTCCATGTTACCGGTGTCGGTACGCTGCCCTCGCTGTCTCGCAGCCACATAGATAGGTCTCTTAGTCTTGCCCTCTAGAGCTCTTTACTTGTAGTGAGTATGCATTATATGATTATCATAAATACTGTATTCAGAAAACCACGTCAAATCCATCGTAGCTAGCTTTCTTGTGGTCTAGAAAGTTTCAGTTCGTTTATTCCTTCTGCTAACTTCTTGGCTACCTACGGACTTGGCTCTTTTCGGTACAAGAGTCAGAACGTTTCAAGTCCTGACGAGTAGCGCTTCAACGAGCCAGCAAATAACACAAGACTTCCCATGGGCCATGGTGATCAATCGGGAGACACGTGCACTTGTCGCTGCTCGCATCTTTCTCGGTGAATACGGTACCTAAGTATGAACAGTACCATCTCTCGGCGTAGCGGAAATGCTCCGCATTCATTATGCGACTCCTGTGCCCCGGACTCGGAGAGCGGAGAGCGGAGTTTATGGGATTAATGGAGTCGGATGGAGTCGGGATGGAGAACTCTCCGCTGTTCCCCGCGGCACCGCCGCCTCGGCATCCCCATTGTTTGATGGAGTCGAGGGACACATTGTGGAAACTGGAAACATCACCGAGCTCCGCCATGGCCCGGACTACCAGGGCGCCACTTACAGCCTGTTCTCCGGGTCGTTATTCGTGCGTTCCGGGCTTGAGGATGGTTTGCTGGGGAAGTCTTGGCCATGGTCACCTTGCTCTAGGTATAGATACTTCATGTGACTCATGAAGACGATCATGGTACAGCCTTGGCATCTGCGAGACATGGGGAATCGCTTTTAGCGTGTTGGTGATGATGATGATGATGATGATGCATAGTGTATATGGATGGATGTCTGTGGTTTGTGATTTGAGGTAGGAAGATATTCGAAAGAAGGTAGAAATGGCCAGTAGAGTGATGATGACGTGCTGACGATAGGTGGTTGGTGTCAGAATATCGTTACGAGATTTGCATGTGAAGAAGTTCACCTCTAGCCGATAGTAGGAAAAACCATGATGGGCGAGGAGGTGAACCAAAAAGAATCGACATCGTTCGATTCTTCGTATAGTGTTAGGCCAACGACAGGTAGCTTGGCTGGCATTTTGCTACGTTAGTGTCTAGGGTGATGATGGATTCGGAGATTGGAAGCGAGAATGAATCACAAGCAAAACCCAGTTAAGTCCCATATGACAACACGCTCACATGCGTTTGAACTTTAGGAGGTCTGGAGCTATGACTCGGGGCCCGGGGAAAGGAACCAATGCGGGGAAGAAACAAGGTGTGTAGTATGGCTGAGATATGCTTAATTCGTGAAAACGGTTCCGATCATCGTAGGTGGTTCGAGTCATGTTCCTCTTGGCTTCCTTACCCATCCCGCATCACATCCCCACGAGCACATGCTTGGAGGTTAAGTGTGGGGCTGCGGAGTAACGACACCCGTCGAGAGAGCCTCAACCCCCGGCCGGACAAGTCATCCATGACAACCAACCCCCCGACCGAGATCCTGCCGCAGCCTCCCCGAGCTCCTTCATGGATGCTACCATTCCTTACCAAGTCATCGGCATCTCATGGGCATTGGCTGACTCTGAGCTCCGAAATCGCAATCATGTGCAGCCAGCAGCGATCCAGGGAAGCAGTTTGTTTGGATTGCTCGGAAGAGGTGGGCCTCCGCCAAGCAGGTCATAGCCGGGAGTTGACCGGGCACGGCCGGGAGTTCCAGGCTTTCAGCCAACAATCAATGAACACTCCCCGTTGGTCCAGAACCTAGAGATCCAGGGGGAGAGGCACCCGGGATGGCCACCAGCTTACCGAGATCGCATCACGGCAATCAGATGTCAAGGAGATGGATAGTGCCAAGACGACATTGCCGGGACAGGAGCTGAGAGGAGGGTCCAGACATGCCAAGGAGAACTACCCCAGATACGGTTTGCTACCCTGCGGCTGACTCACCAGGGCGTCGTCTGTGATTGGGTGACTCGAGACCATTTCCCCCATCGAATGGACAGCCACCACGAGGCACCTCTGCTAAATCGTGGAATGGTTTCAGAATAGTTGGGAAACGTTGAAGCGTAGGAACGGTAAGATGTTGAGGAATTTTGAGTGTGGGCTAGTCTTGATGTAGCCCAAAGTAACGCGGACTAATGATGTGAGAGTAAAGAACATAATTCCAAGACAGCAAAGAAGACGTGAGACATCAGTTCGCACAATATCTCAGTGAAATCAGTGAGGTCAAGGGAAACACCGAGCAGTTGACACAGTTAGCGCTAGGCTCGAACGAGCATCTGCATTGGCGGGCGGGTTTGAAGATGAAGCCAACGGCTATGCAGCCCCGGGCCTCAAGCTCGGTTCGAATGTCAATGTAAAAGGTCCCGCAGCTTGACAGCATCAGCCATCGTCTTCCGGCTTGCATCACTTGGTTGACACGGAAAGCTGATCATTGGTGTAAAGCATTGATGTACCAGCGCCACAGCTGGATGTCGGGCCCAGCAAAAGCTCGAGGTAGTATATGTTGACAGATCAGATCGTCCGACGTCATGAATGTGACAAGGAAGGGCATGGGACGACGAAAATGTCGGGGACGGCGGTTGAACTGGGCGCTCAATGTCTGTCCGCGGAAGGCTACACTATGATTCTCGTTAATTGAAAACAGCTGAGCATGAAGGAGGAAGTGATCGACGAACAATTGGATGCAGGGGAGGAAGGGATGAGCGTGATGCAGTTTCGAGACATGATGGTGGAAAGGTCCACTCACCGCAAAACAATCCGGGGAAAGACTTGGCACAGTCCCAGGGTTTCACAGCTGAAGGAATCGTTGAGTTGGAGATTCGCTCACCTCCTTTCCCCTTTGGCTTTCACTTTTCTACAACACCGGTGTCTTCGTCCCCGACGGCCAAGGTTTCTAGAAGTCCGGACTTTAGCATCTCGTCACCCTCCCTGTCCAATTGTCTCAGCGCCCAAAACTGAAGCTGCAACAATCTCGGGAGAAGTCGGACAAGAATCCATGCCTTTTGTAGTATTTTTGGCTCGTCAATTCGATGCGTGTCACCCTGGGCGGATGTCGAGGATGTGAGTCCTGGTTAGTGCCCCCCGGTCAGCCCCTGAACGCCCAGGCGACGTCGAAGCGAGAGACGCTCCCGCTGATGCTTCGGGTGCTTCACGAGGGGATCCACATTCACCGACACGGCATGACCGCAATCCTCCAGCCTAAACCCGTCCGGCCCGTTTCGATATCGTTGTTGACTGTAGACCTTACCATCTAGCGGACAGTAAGATAGCGACCAGATTATGTTTCCTGATTTCTGACACCCAAGTCACGATACTTCTGGCGCGACAAAGGGGCAAAAATGGATGGGAGTTATTAGTAACCTTACCTTATCGCAGTCTGCTATGGGTCCAGACCGGAGCTGACGGTACAATCCCGTCGCCTAAGTTAATGACAAACAAGGGTATCAAGATTGAAGCGGTGTTGTCGGCCAACACGAACGTACGTATTTATGTGCTGTCGATGGGGGCGCAGTTCGCGTCAATTCTGTCACCGCCGTGCGACGTGTGGGAATCCGCATCCAGACCAGAGGGAGGAACAGAAAGCTGTAATGGAAAGTCAGCCCTGGACGAGACAGGTTGTGGTGGTATGTAGTGGTACAGGGTGAGCTGAAGAAGGGTGTAGAGGTACAAACTCTACAATGACGCCGTCGCCTTCAGCACTCCAGCCCCGTACTGGCACCCATTAGAACCTTGCGGCCCACAGTTTTCAGTGTCTCATGATTCCTTCGTGGACTCTGCGACCCGTTTTAGCCGTGATTGCGCCGTGATAACTTCATGGGCTTTCGTAGAAAAAGTGGACGGGTGGTGGACGAGTTGCCAATCGCAGAGTTTCAACTGCAAAGCGGAAAGTTGGATTGACATACTGTTGGGAATTTGATGGGAAAAAATTACGAAGCCTTTCCGAGAAACCGACGGGAGTTGGAATCAAACAAAACCTGAGGTGGAATCAATCCGAGGTCCCAGTGCGTATTTTCATCCCCGATGTTACGCATTTTCCAACCAAGCGGGAAGGGCCCTCTAGCCCGATTGAGAAGTTGATGTCTTCAATTGAAGCATTTGATTGGACAACGGCGTGATCAGGGTCACCATGCGGCCCCTGTATAAAAGAGGTTCGACGAACTTGAAATCCACTTCTCCATAAATTGGTGCCTTGAGGTTGACGGTTGCTGCTGCCCATCGAAACAAGACCACTGCGTGACTCTTTTCACTTTTCCGGTCACACAAAGCCGACTGTGGAAGTTGCAGTTGGGTGGAAAAATAACTGGAAGGAATCAGCGCTTTATGTCAGGTCTGAGTAGAGCCCACAATGCACCATGCTCGGACGTCCGACCCATCCGCCTTGTTCCTTTCATGGTCCCCAAAGTAGGCTGGGCGTCTTGACGGTCAAAGAGGTAGATGCCACTATAAAGTCGGCAGTTTCACCGTGCAATATCTATTGCAATTCTCACATCAGCTGCAGAAGCCTTAGATTTGACATACATGCGAAGCTCAAGATATTCGAATGGAAAAGCGGATGAAAGTCGCTGGTGGAAGATGTTCCATTGTCGAAGGCAACTCAAAAGAGCAGTGGAAGCAGCGGGGGACTGTGGATGGATGGAGCCGCTAGCCGCTAGGCGGTGGAGTAGCGGTGGGGACTTCGGGTCTGACAAGCGGCATCGCACGCGGCCTGCACCTGCATTTCCAGTGTTACGAAGGATTGCAGTGACTGACGTGCCCCAAAGTCCACTGTCCAACAACAACGACTTCCACCACATTCTGACTCCTTTTCCATTTTGAAAATCCCCGCCTCTCTAATGGAAGTTCGAAATACACGACGCCGGCCACACCCCGAACCATTACCGTGCATGGGGATTACCCGTTTTCATTTCCTAGATAAGAATTCCAATGGAACGCTACGAGCAGCACACGACCTGTTCCCAGAAATGACTGTTCTGAAAAGATGACAAGGCGGGACGCAGAGGTGGACAACCGGTGCGAGACCGGACGGCAGAGCCCGTTGATAGATGGAACAGGAAAGAGCATCCTCCACGTAAAACTAGTGCCCTTGCAGCCCTTTCGTTGCTTCCATCTCCTCGATCCCATCCGCACATGCCTCACTTCGTACCCACAAACCTTACCTACCTTCCTCCATCTCACATTCCTCATTTTTGGTGTTGACCGATCATCATTGTATCATCTTGGTGGCCGGGATCTGCCGTTGTTGCCTCCAATTTGTAGAAGCAAGGTACCACATACACCCGACGCTATTCGTACCTAGGGCTGCTACTGTAACAACATCATCGTTGTACCGACCAATTCGCGGATATCGTTTTCAATTTTTTATTGTCAATTTTCGCCGTCCCGGTACAACACTTTCCCGGAGGCATTCTGAGCTGCATATTCGTCGCAGCAACAAGCGGTCACAGCTACCCCAACCGGGTGCATTCGGGTGTCTCCAACAGCTGGACCACGAGCGTGTGCAAGGTGTGTACACTCCCCTTTGTTTTCTTTCTTTCCCGTTTGGGGCATGCCCAGCCGTCCGGGCCAGATCCAACCCACACCATCCGATCCTCCCCCAATCGTTCGTGGGAGAGTCAGGACTCTGGCCGTGTGTTGGAATCCACAACCGGCGGCGCGAGTCGGAGACGACTCCCAAGGACAACACCACGGACACACACGGATACCCTCCTCCTTCACGGGCAGGCGGCCCTTGAAACAGCCATACCCCGGCTCCCGAAACCTGCCAGACAGGCCTCTGTCGCGACAAGCACCCCCCAGCACTTGAGAATGTCCTGGTTATTCTTGCCATTGCTACCTGGCAGCTAACAGTGACCCTCTTGGTGCCCAACTACCTCTAGAGAGCAAAAGTACCATCAAGAAATAGGTGGAAGCCGCAAAAAGAGCACAGCGTTCCATCTCAATCTCGCGTCGCATGGGTAAAAACAGACTCCCCGTTTCGCCCTGGACGGTGCTCATGTCCGGGGCAACCGCTCGACTGCAAAAGGCTTTAAGTCGGCCGGTCCTCTCGAGTAAACTGGATGGTGGAAGAACATCTTCTCATCATCTATCCTCTTTGACTCTGACAAAGAGTCTGTTGCTTGCTTCACGGTTCGCTGCTTCTACCCTCGTTGCTACTACTACCTCTACTACTTCTGCTGGTGTATCTACAAGTACCGGTACCTCCAACCCAGACCCCGGCACTACCATCAGGTCTCAGACCAATCGCAACCCCTCGACTTACACCTCACCTCCAAATTCCTTTTCCAGAAAGTTTAGTTGGGGTAACCTTCTAGGCTGGCACCAACGGACCCTCCCCAACAAGTACAAGTACAACTACGGCACCCACGATCCGCAGGGGCATCTAAATCCCAGCAGCACTACTACCAGGACTACCGATACTACACTTAGTACTAGCTCACACGGTGAAAGAGCTGAAAGCCCTTACTTCAACCTCACCGGCCACCTCGACGATTTGTCTTCTTTAATCCGCCCATTCCTGGCTTTTCTGGACCCGTCCTCGCTTTCCTCTTCATACTCAATGGCGTCGTACGCTTTCAGCACCTCCTCAGGCTCCGATCTCTCAACCCCACGGTCAAGCTCCCCTCATTCGTCTGCATCAGTTGCGTCCGCACGCTCCTCTCACTCGTCCACTTTCAGTGCAGCAAAGCGCATGTCCATCTCTTCAGTTCGGCGCACTTCGGCTTCGAATCCGATGTCTTCCGTTGATCTCTCAACCATTCAAGAAGCTTTAAAGATGGCCAGCCTCGACACCCTGAGGGGCTACTGCCAAAATACCTACGGAGAGGTTCACCAGGAAACCGCTACCGAGTACATTCCCCACGAAGAGGCCCGGGGCTACCAGGTGCTCAACGAACCCCACTGGAACAAGGGTAAGCCTACCTCCACTACATGCTCTCTTTTTGTTCTTGACTTTCTCTACCCTTTCCCTCCACGTCCCACGCTTCCGTTCAGTCTTCTCCCGTCACCATCTCTTATCAGAACCCGAGCTTTGTCCACAACTTCCTCTGAGTCAACCAGCAGGCCATGCTCGCATCATCAGTCTCTGCTGTCCGTCAAGGGCCCATCATGCCTTGGTCCGCCAGACTACTGCACGCACGCCAGACTTGCTTATATTCACGTTTCCTCCCATCTTTTTCTGTTGCTCGACCCCGCCTATCTTCCTCAACCTCATCTGTTTCCGGTCCAGCACTTTCTTCTGTTTCGTCTGTGTCATATTCACGCGAACCGTCCTCGTCCACTCTTGTACACAACATGGCTACGGTTACTGACATCTACATCTCACCCAAAGGGACGTCTTTTACTCCCGAAGAGCGTGTCTCCAAGAACTTGACCGGTCTGATTCCCCACGTCATGGAGGACTCGGAGAAGCAGGTTGAGCGTGCGCTCAAGATGATCCGCACCCGTCAGACCGACATTGACAGGTATCTCTACCTGTCGACCATCAAGAGTCATAACGTCGACCTCTTCTACCGCATTCTTATGGATCATGCCAAGGAGATGATGCCATTGGTTTACACTCCCACCATCGGCGACGTCTGCCTCCAGTACTCGACCCTCTACACTCGGCCCGAAGCTTTGTACATTTCGATCAAGCAAAGGAAGTCGATCCGGACAATCTTGAGGAATTGGCCCTACCCCAAGCCCGAGATTTGCGTCGTCACTGACGGTTCCCGCATTCTTGGTCTGGGAGACCTTGGTGTTAACGGTGTTGGCATTCCGGTAAGTGTCTTCGGCAGTTTGTAGATGCATGCATACGCTAGTCAGCCGCTAACATCCACCAGATCGGTAAGCTAGCTTTGTACACGGCTGCTGCTGGTATCCACCCGGACAAGACGCTCCCTATTGTCCTCGACTGCGGTACCGCCAACGAGACCAACCTGAGGGACCCTCTCTACCTGGGCCTTCGTCAGAAGCGTATCCCGGTTTCCGAGCAACAAGAGTTCATGGACGAGTTCATGGAGGCTGCCGCTGAAGTGTTCCCGGAGATGGTTGTGCAGTTTGAGGACTTTGAAAGTGAAAAGGCTTTCAACTACCTCGACCGGTATCGTGATCAGTACAAGTGCTTCAACGATGATATCCAGGGAACTGGTGCCGTTGTCCTTGCTGGGTAAGTTGGAGATCCTTTCACCTCTAGGCCATGAGTTGCCTCGAACGGAAAGTCCCATTTTTCAGAGGGACTCCAAGACGTGGGACTAAGTGCTAACAATTTGCTGGACAATATAGTTACATCGGTGCTGTCAACCTTTCAAATGTTCCCATCGAGGAGCAGCGTCTTGTCTTCATGGGAGCGGGCTCCGCCGGTGTTGGCGTTGCCAAGCAGCTGGTTGAGTACTATACCAAGCGTGGCCTCTCGGAGCAACAAGCTAAGGACAAGTTCTGGCTTGTTGATACCAAGGGTCTTGTGACCAAGGACCGTGGTGACAAGCTCGCCGAACACAAGAAGTACTTTGCCCGTACCGACAACAATGGCCATCAGTTCCGCACCCTCGAGGAGGTTATTGAATACGTCAAGCCAAGTGCTCTTGTCGGTCTTACCGCCACCCATGGCGTCTTCACCGAGTCCGTCGTCCGCGCCCTCAAGGCTTCCGTCGACGCCGGAGGTCTTGGTCGCAGGCCCATTCTCTTCCCCCTCAGCAACCCTCTCACCAAGGCTGAATGCACCTTCAAGGAGGCTGTTGACTGGACTGAAGGAACCGTTCTCTTTGCTTCCGGTTCCCCCTTCTCCAATTACACCGTTAACGGTGTAACATATCACCCTAACCAGGGTAACAACGTCTACGTCTTCCCCGGTATTGGTCTTGGTGCCATCCTTGCCAAGGCCAGCAAAGTCACCGATGACATGATCTACACCTCGGCCGCTGCCCTATCCAACTCGCTCAATGCCGATGAGGTCAAGCAAGGCCTTATCTACCCTCGCATTGACCGTGTTCGCGAGGCTAGCGTCATTGTTGCCCGCGAGGTGATGAAGTCTGCTCGCCGTGAAGGTGTCAGCACCCTACCAGAAGAGCAGTGGCTTGAGTGGGAAGAGTGGGGTGACGTGGCCCTCGACAGGTATATCAAGCAACATGTCTACGACCCCATGCTTTAGAGCGAGAGTCTCATAGATCATACCAAGCCCCTGTGCGCAAAACGGATAGAAAGGGCGGGTTAGCGGGATATATTGATATGGAAAGAGTCGGCTCGGAGGTTATTATCATGGCGTTTGGGGTCTGATTTGTTTTACCCTTCTGGTTGTCAGTACTCACAGGATGACTGCTTTATTATTCAAAGAGTTGGAGTGGCGGGTTGAGTGGGATTATCGGAACCGTTAATGAAGATCCCTTTCCAGTCGGAAGGATTGGATGGATCTTGAGCGTGTTCGTACTTACTTGTTAAAAGACCGGGCGTGTTGGATGCAAATACCCCAAGAGGCAGCGAGAGATGCCCAATGTTCCAACATCGGTCACCCGGCATTAGATACATACAGTTACAGTTAAGAGGTTTATTGAGCCGTTTCATGGATTAGAACAACGCTTGAAGATGTAGATCATTGTGTAGTGCCTGACGGGATGGAGCTCGCGCAATGCGCGGAAAGTATTTTACACTATCTAGAGTTCTTTTTTACCATATCGTTGGTCCACTCACCTTGACAACTCTCGCTCTCCGACCGGACAATCGCCCAATCCACGTTTTTCAAGTTCGAGTCTTCCTAATCTTCCCGCAATATTGCGTCTACGCGTTGGGGAGGTTGATAGTTCCTGGCAGCAGGGTTGGGGAACAGACAGGCACTGACTAAGGTAACCTGCCTTCCCAACGGGTACATAGGGTATGCATCCGGCACTTCTGTCATCTAAGCCAACATCACCTAAGACCCGCACACCATGCTTGTCCGAAGAACACTTCTGCGTTATGCAGGCTTTATCTTAGCTCACTTCCATGTAGGTACGGTGTGATACCATGTTGTCCGATGTTTAACGGTGCTGGACCCGTGATATTCCGCACGTGTACATGTGTGTATATTTCACATGTCACTCATTACCAACCGAGAAATGTTTACAAAGAAATTAGAATATTTGTCATCATTGAGAGACGAGCTACCTGTCTCAGTTCTCTTTCGTTATCGGTGCCGGTGTCGGCTAATTTTTTTCTTCTTTTTCTTTTCTACTCGCACACCATGTTTTTAACACCTATGGTATTAGAATACCTAGACACGGACTTCAATACTTCACTGTCATTCACTCTGGACTTGGTTTAACTTCAATTTCTCTTCACCAAGGTCCTTGCCTAATTTATTTCCCTTCGCCTCATTTATATCTTTCAACCCCTCTTTATCTCTCCTGACCACTTTCCTCTTTACTATATCCTTCTTGGCAGTTGCTCTGGCTCGTTATCTGTTCTTATAGAGTATGCTGAACCTTGTTTTCAAGGAATGTCTCCGATTGGTCTTTTTGAATGTGGCTTCTTGCCACGAATCTCTAGCAAATCGTGTTAGATATCCAAGATGAGAAACAGCCAAGTAGCTCTGATGTTACCACGTGGATGTGCTCGACATGGAGTTTTAGAGAGAACATTGACACTTGGCTTTATGTTTCGTATCTGTTGCTTCAAATCCTAGGTATTCCCTCAGTAACGGTTTAGGGACGATGAGAGTCGGAAAGATAGTATGATGCCGTACAACAGCATCTCTCTCCATACCTGACCCGATGAATCCACATCAACGCCATGTATATCATGACCGCAAACAAGGGGATATATATCTGTTACTCCAGCTCTTCACACATCCATCTCCTTTCCCTCAACCGGAGGCTTCCCCATCGTCTCTCCTCCTACTCCTTTGCTCGGCCGCCTCCCCAGCCAAGAACCCTCTCGTCACCGGATTCTCCACCAACATCCTATCGTCACCTGCGTCATTACCACCACCAGTTCCACCACTAGTTGTTGCCGGTCCAGTCGGAGGCTTGACACTCCCAAACAAACAAGTCCACAAGTCATTTTGGTCCACTGCCTCACCGACCACCCCATCCGATCCTTTACCCATCAACCGACTCAAATGCGCCTGCTGCATTTCCTGGGCGTTGGCTGCGTCGAGGCTGATCATCTCAGAGTCAGAGTCAGAGTCAGGTTGCTTCCCCTTTGACTTCATAGCCGAAGAAGAGGCGGTGCTAGCAGCCACCCTCCGCTCCATATGCTCCAGCCTCCTCTTCACACTCAGTTCATAAACATTCTGCTCCACCGTCCCATCCACAATGTATAACCACACCGTCGTCTCCTGCTTCTGACCAATCCTGTCCACTCTCGCAATAGCCTGCAGTTCCAGCGCCGTGTTCAGCAGCGGCTCGCAGAGAAAGACATGGCTGGCGTTGACCAGGTTCAACCCGCTCGCGTGAGCGCGGGCGTGCAGCAAGAAGACTTCGATCGAGGGGTCGTCGCGGAAGCAGACGACGCTGGATATGGCGCCTCGATCAAAAGAGGAGTAGCCGATGCGGTAGCGCTCGAAGGCCTGGGCTAATGCGTGGAGGAAGTCTGGATACTGCGAGAAGACGATGGATTTGGCGCCCGGGTCGGATTGCCGCAGCCAGAGGAGGTGGCGGAGGAGAGTGTCAACTTTGGTGGTGTAGTGCGGGCCGTTTTCGAGGTCGATGTTCTGGATTTCGGCGAGCTTGGAGGGGTTGAACTCGGTGTAAATAGCTGAGTGTTTTTTGGACTTGGAGGGTGATGTTGGTTGTGATGTTGATTCGTTGCGGTGGGCTAGCTGCTTATTGGAGGAGTAACCTTCCGAGTGGACTTTGAGCTCTTGAGGTTTGTAGGTGATATCGTGAAGGTTCGAGCGGCTGAGAGCGCGCTTGCACACCGGGCAGTTGTGATGAGCTGCGAACCACATGGTGATGCACCCTTTGCAAAACTGGTGGCCGCAGACTGTCAAGACGCCGATGGAGAATGGGCACTGGCAGATGACACACATTCGTTCCTCCTCAGAGGAAGCATTTGTTTCCTTGAGGTGAAGTACTGCATGCGGTGTCAGTCCATCCTGTTTCACACAGCACCAATGTTTCGGGACGGGCATAACTTACGATAACGATGCTTCGACTCCGCCGTGGCCAATTTCGTCGTCAACCTTTCTTCCTCGTCGATAGCCCTCTGTAGGGTCTCTTCGTCCGTGGCTCCTCTGTACTCTTCTACCGAGTCTGAAACCTGCTGCAGTTGCCGGTAGAAATCAAGACGCGCGTTCAGGATGTTTGTGAACTTCTCAACCTCTTGCTCCATAGCTGTGGCTGCTTTACCTTGGTCCGTATGCTGAGCCTGGGTTGACTTGAACAATTTCTCTGCCAAAGCAAGTTCCAACCTTGCTCTTTTGCTCCCACTCGCTTCTTGATGTCGTAAATCCGTCATCAAAGCTCGAAGCTTCGAGATGATGCCCTTGAGGGATGTATGGCCATCGCCTTCATGGAATTTCGGCTTGATACTTGCGCGAGAAGCAAAGAGCTCAAGGATCCGCTTGGCCGATTCGGGAGGCTCCTGGCCTTCTTCGACTTCCATATCATCGCGTGCCATATTGAGCACCACCCCAACTTCGTGCTCGATCAGACCGTTTCGTTGCCCGGATATTACGGCTTGTCGGTCGGCGATAGCGGCCTTCAAGACCTGTACGTATGCCAGTATCTCATCCTGAAGCTTTGTTGATTCCTCATACTCTTGGCCTGTGGCTTCAACATCGGTATTGTCCTCATCCACCAACGGCTTGAGCAGGAGTTGGATGACGTGCTTTCTCCATTCATCGAGCTTCTCGGTCTGCTGGTCAAGGGCCTCGTATATACCCTCGAGAGTGATGATGATGTTGCTACATTCGACACCACTTTCTTCGGGTAAATCAACTGCCGGGATGACCACGAAGTCTTGCTTCTCGCGACATTCGTCAAGATTGTCCATCAACTTTCTCGCCTTGCCGTAACTCTGGAACGGAATCCGTTAGTAAAGGTCGAACAAAAGTTGGGAATTCAGAAGCACCTCTTGCAAAATTTCCTTCCTGATTGCCTTCGCAAGGTCGTAGCCTTCAGATTCCAGTTTGTCCAGCCGCTTGAACTCGTCTGAATCCGGAACAGTCGATTTGACATCCGACTTGATCGAGTAATATCCATTTGCGCACAAGAACACGGCCATGTGCTGGACCTCAAGGGCGTTCCTTAGTCGACGGCGGGAATCTTTAGAACCTGATGCGGTATCCTCATCATCATCCGACTCGCTATCACCCCCCTCACCTGACGGCACCACAGGGGCTTTTGCAAGCTCTGCCTCAAGCTTCTTCCGGCACTCTGCTACCATCTCTGTGCTTTTCGCATGAACATCGTTCCAGATTGTTAGTGCATCCTGGAGGCGGTCCATTCCAGCCAGAATTTGTCCTCTTTTGAGCTGCATGAGCAGGAGACTACGTTGATCACTCCTAATGGCACCGTCGGTCTGCTCTAGCATTGCATCAAGGACCTCGGCCACTGTTCGCATTGGTTGTCCGAGCCTTTTCCTTAAAGCCCTGCGGTTTCGATTCCCTACCTCGGGGTGAAGAGTCAATTGCCGCAGGCAATCGAGAGCAGTCCGCATGCTTTGTTGAATAGCAGGGTCCTCAGGATCCCAGTCTTCCTGAATAGGATTTCCCTCAACATCCAAGCCGCAGTTGTTAACGAGCTCACTGAAGACGGTCCGGTAATGTTGTTCCTCCACGGCGCTGAAGGGCATCGTGATCACATGTCGTTTCTGAGGCGGAATCGAAATTTCACCTCTAACCATGCTCTTCGTGTGCCGCATGGTGATGGAGCCGAACAGGGCCTTGAAACGCGCCTTATCGTACATCAAGGCTTTCCAGGCGTCTTTATCCGAGGCATACGGCTCAACTCGAAGGAAGTTCAGAAGGCCTCGGAGATCTGAGTGTAACCCGTTAGCCATTATCAAACCGAACACAACTTAGCTTGTCTGGTACGAGCCTTACCTTTCTGTATGTCATCCTTCACTGGGGTGCCAGTGATGGCCCAAGCATGGACGCGGGGGATACGCCTTGCAAGCACTGCAGTGTTGCTGGTCCAGTTTTCCACCATTTGGGCTTCGTCAATGCAAACGCGCCACCATCCGAGTTCGACGAGGGGAGATGTTTGGCGCTCATATTGCTTTTCTCCGCGCATGGATCGTTCGGGACGGTCGATGGCTGACCAGATCTCTGTCCGGAGAACTTCATAAGTGGTGATGACCACATCCTGCTGAGCCAATTGTTTGACAGAGAGATCTACACCTTTCATCTTGGCCGCCTTTTTCAACCCCGGGTAGTATACCACCTTGAGGCTCGGAGCATGGCGACTCAGTTCGGAAAGCCACTGATCGAGAAGAGGTAAAGGCGTTATTATCAAGGTCGCCCCTGTGGTCTGGAGCTCGCGGCCAAGAAACGGGTCGTAAGCGATTGTTGGGCCTTGCGGGCGCCTGTGAAGCAAGGCGAGGGCAATGACTTCGACGGTTTTTCCAAGACCTATCTAGGGTTAGCCAACTTGCTCTCTGGTCTCACCAATCGACTCCAGGAAAAAAGCATTACCCATTTCCTCAGCCAGGATACCGCCTTTGATCCTGTCATTGGACTGGAGCTTCGTGATGTCTTTTATTGCTATGCCAAATAACGGGCTAATATAAAACATGCCGCCATTGGGATTCCTGACCTGCTGGAAGAAGGCAGGGAGAAGGGACGCATCGCCGCTTTCAGATGGTTGGACCAACGGCTGGCCATCGGGTTGGAGAGCGCCGCTCCATTTGACACCCTCACGCTGTAGAAGCCACTGAACAGCCCTTTGCTGGAACGGAAAGAGGTTCGCCTCAAGATTGGGGATCGTTGCTGCCGCAAAATGTTCGTCGGACAAGTACGGCTCTGGGGTATGCGCTGCTTCGTAGAAATCTTGTGGAGACCAGGAGAGCGGCTCTTGCGATGGAGGAAGCAGATTCGGGTAATACACCAACAGCACATGATTTTTCAGCCCTTGTTGAACCTTGGACTGGTACACATCTGTGCTTGTGTTCCACATTAGCCTGAGAGTGACATCGATTTTGACAGATGCTCCTTCTTGACGGATGGCGATATCCACAGCAGTCCAGACATAGCCCTTTGATCCAGGATCGAATGAATGTGTTTTGGCAACACGGGTCATGAGACTAAGTCTCCGAGAAACTGTCCTTGTCTTGAGCAGATAGCAGATGTGGGCGCTCCTTGTTTTGTTGGAGTGACTGGTGTCTTTGCCTGGAGCAAGGTGCAAGTACCAGGTGCCACGTTCTGGAGCATGACGGTCGGGTTTGGTGTTCACCACCCAAGCATCCACGTAGTCTCCAATGTTTTGCTTAAGGAGGGCAAAATCCTTGGGAATGGCCGCCGTCTCGCGGCCAGGCAGGGCGACTGTGTGTTCATCGATACAGACGGCATCGCTAGGCTCGATTACGCCTCGTGAAAGCTTCATGCGCTTAGCAGGCCGAACTTCAAGGTCCTGTTCGGCATCAGTGGTGGAAGCGGCGGGATCAAGTCCAATGGATCGAACGTAGTCGACAAATGCTGCTAGGTTCTCGGGGTTGGTTTCCCAGTCTGAAAAGAGTTGTCGAGACTGCGCTTTGGACTTTTTCTTTGGAGGCATGATGGCGACAACTCGATCGATACTAATTTCGAGATGACGAGGTTGAAGCAGGTACCAAAGCAAGTGGTAGTGGTCTGGCAATATCACGGAGTGGATGTGCTTTATCTTGGTAGTGAACAGCCCGACCTTGCCGGCATGTTCGAGGTTAGTGATGGAGAGTGGATGGCCGATCCGGATGACCAACCGGTGAGTTGGTTGAACCTGGGATGAAGGTGCATGAAGCAGGAAGAAATGAGCAAGGAGGAGGGGGGAGGGCAGGAGTGATAAGGAGGGGGGTTGGTAGCTTCCATCTGTAGTTAAGGCAGAGAATTGTTAATGCAAGAGGTCAGCGCACAGGGGCAGGCACACAGATGGAAATGGAAGCCCGGCTTACACGCGGGCGTACCAGCTGGGAGTGTACGTACTTGTAGGTTTTATAGGGCTGCCCGCTATCCTGGGTCTTGGCACGAACACAACCGTGCTAACATGCAGGGGAGCCACTTTAACCCCGTTACTGACTGCTTATTATTGGTGAACAGACAGCGGGAGCTATCCTGTGCCCCACCAAAAGCTTCAGATATTGGACGTCGGGCGCTCAGACCGACCAGCGGCTCCGGCTCCAATTTCTTTTGGGCGGACGAAGCGGCAGGCGGGCTGCGGAGGAAAACTTTCCCAAGCGTTCGGGGAGTCCACCGAAAGCGACCGCGCGCGATCCAGTCAGTCCCGGGGCCGGAACCAGTTAAGGAATCTCCATCCACAATATCTCGCCCCGTCTCTTTCCCCGGCTCCGTGATATGAGCGGCAACCTTGACCGATTGCTGGCGACATTTCTGCAATAGGTATGTACCTACCTACCCTCCGCCCATCCCACTCCTACACTTTTATCCTTTGCGACTTGCGACTTGCGACTTTATCCGTTTCTATTTATTTGTTTACTTGCCCACTCACTAACACTGTAGCCCTGACCCTCTCAGCACGGATGAAGTCCTTCCTCCGGATCCCGTCCGCCCTTGGACTCCTCTTCCGGCCCTGCGCCGTCTCGGCCCCCGTCACTGTCCCCGGGCTCAACGCACACGCACGATGGGCGCATAAGCTGCCCCTCATCCCCGCGCCGACTCCCTTCGTCCCCGACGTCCCTACCTTCCTGAACTTGATCGGTCGCGACCTCAAGCAACATGCCGACAAGTTCCCCACGTGGGAGGCCCTCTTCACCCTCACCACCGACCAACTGAGAGAACTCGGCGTCGAGCCTCCAAGGACAAGGCGCTACCTGTTGCGATGGAGGCAACGCTTTAGGGAGGGCAAGTTCGGCGTTGGCGGCGACCTGAAGCACGTCGAAAACGGTGTCGCCTACTTGAAGATCCACGAGAGGCCCATCAACCCTGCCCTGACGGCACGAAAGGTCGTCAATGTCCCCGCCAACAAGAACCCCGAGACAATCAAGAACCCCAGACCCTACCGGGCCAAGGGCTTCAAGGTCAAGGGCGTCTCGACAATCCTTGGCCCCTACGCCTTGCCCGTCGGCAAGGGCGTCGCCAAGGTCACCGTCACCGAGGGCATGTGGGAAGACAAGAGAGGACACAAGGTCGACGGCGGTGAGCGTAGACGCGCCGAGGTGCGCTTCAAGAGGGGTGTGGCCGAGCGCAAGGCCCTCAGGGAGAAGATGGGCTTCTACTAAACAAACAAATCGGGCTATGGTCATGGAAGACACGGGTTGGTTAAAGTGCCGTCAGATATGAACGTGCTCGGTTGGCCGCAAGCCCTACTCCATTTGTAGCCCTGTGTAAAATCTGTATATTAATGGGATTCGGCTTGTCATCTTCCGGCGTCCTGGGCTGTTTGTGTCACTTCCTGGTTCCATGTCTTGCGACTCTGGTCGTTGCACGAATTGGTCAGGATCCTTTGCGAAGCTGTTCTGGTCATAGGAAGTTACTGGTGCCATGGGAATGGTGTTTTTCGTTCCCTGATGTGTAGGTGACCTTTGATCCCTCCTAGCTGTCTTGTACTGACGGGGTTTTCGTTGAAGCTTTCCTGGAACAGTCCGACCTCACTCGCACTTCGAACCATTACCTTAGCGCTAGGATCTTATAGTCCCTGTTCGCCCCATCCGCTCAGTACATCCTGCCGTGGATGGGACGAGCCTGTCGCTGCTCTGGATATAGACCGTATGCAGTTATATCTCTTAACTCCGTGCCCTGATACACAAGCCACAACTTCCCTCGGTGATAACAGTAAATAAATCCTTACGCACCTTTTATTTGGTCATTCATCAAGTCTCCTCGTCATCCTTTGCCATGTTACTTCTTTGAAAGCGTCTCTCTTCGTCAAATCTGTCGTTGTCATTTTGCGCGTCACATAGTCGAATTTTCTACGCCAACAATACCCTCTCCAAGTTCCCTTTCGGGCTATACTTCACTCCTACATGCTGCACAATTCAAAGTTCTCATGGCAAACGGGAGTGTTCCAACACAAAAACCGCCTTGACACGGAAATCACCATCGTTTGGTAAAGAAAAGGTCTTGCCAAAACCCCAGTGCTAACGATATCGGTACCTACCTAGCGGTAGGTCTTCTGATATCGGCGAGATAATATCGCGCTTCCCCTAACAGGTGAGACGGGGCTGGGTTTTTTTTTTCAGGACGGAGACACTGATCCCACGATCCGGGTCACGGCTACGGGAACAACAGTGGGCATGGTAATGGAAATGGCAACGATAGTACCGGCGATTTGTTCGTGGACCAGAACTCTTGGTGGTCCGTGAAAGGCTTCTGTCGCCACTGGAACGACACCACGCACTCGATCGAGCTCAGCTTTGCCATTGGAGACTCGCGGGACCGAGGAGCGAGGAAGAAGCTGGGAGAACCTCAGGCAAAAGGTGGAAGGTAAGAAGAGGGGAGGCCGGGGTAGCTTCCAACTTTGGGTACTGTCCACGGCTCCTCCTCCCTGTGATGATCTCGAATTGGGAATGCAGGTAGCAGGTAGTGTCACTCGGACGAAGAGTTGCTCCTCCATGTTGGAAGAAACGGGGGAGACGTCTTTCGTTTCGGCGCTTTCCTTATTCCATTTTGACCCACAGCCGGCCATTACAACTCCCGTCCTCGCTTCACCTCATTCAGCTTCCTCTGATCATTACAAGAGAGACAGAATCAGCATCTACGTCAACGACTCACCTGAATGGAACAATGACCGCAAAGACCTTCCTATCGGCAACGCCCGTTTAGAGCGCACTCATCGACGCCCACAACTTCGACCATCCATCATGCGTGGCATCGGTGTCGATAAGCGTATTCCTTCTTCTGCCACCGATACAGCATGGCGCCGCTGCTATTTCGGGCTCATGGATCGTCCACTACACAGCCACTGGCGTCCAGCACTTTACCACGTCTCAATATGTCCACCTCCGATCTGATTTCTGGCCACAGCTCCCAAACCAAGCACAAGCCCAATGCAGGCTGCGTATGATATAATGTGCCTGCCACCGTTCCTGCCGCCGCCGCCCGGCCGACACGTCCTTCCATTCCTCAAACATCGGATGGCAGAGCCCCTCCCTTCTCTCCCGGCTGCCGCAGTTTGAGCCCAGCCCAAGCACCTGGCACTAATAAGGTCCGTTACCTAGTCCTACTACCACAACGGGGAGCCTTGTGGTCTTATGGCGCAGTGGTTATCGTTGATGAATAACTTAGCGTGGCGGTTTTCGCATAGTTGTACCGGCGGATTGTCGTTCGTTCTACAAGCGTACCATGGGCAACTTTGTTTTTTGCCTTTTTGTCAAATAGGGGAAGTAATGAAGAGAGCGGGAAGGAAGGTCTTGCATTTTTCTTTCCAGTTTTGTGGTTTTAAAAAGGGTTGTTGGCGTGCAATGCAAGGTGAGTTGAATTGTTGATGGAGGGCGCGCATCATACAATTCGACAGTGTCGACCTTTCCTAACCGAAACACCCATCGCTAAGCAAATCTAGAGCCCCGCGACAAAGATCATAATCAGAACATGGCTTTTCGCTGCCTACACCAGGGGGCGGAAACTTCAACTGATCATTGTGCGCTTGGTGCGCCTGCTCCTGACGACAGTTTCCCGAAAGCCTGTAAGAAAATTGTCCGAACGGTATTCTCGGCCATTATGTCAATTATGCGCCAACAAGCCTCACCTTGACCCCTTCCCATGAGCTCGAAATAGCTCTCGTCTCAAGCTTAAAGCGCCATCGCCGTACTGCTCGGCGATATCGCCAATGATGGCATTGAGGCCCGATATCATGAAGCGACTACTCTCTTATACCGCTGGTCACGACTGCACAACGAGTTTGATATGAGGGCAATGGTGACACACAAAAGACTAAATCCAGGAGCTTCTGGTCTGGTTACACAGAAACCACCAATCTCCATTGGCAGCTGTGCCGCAGCTGAAATCGAGACACGCTCGACGCGGTGACGTTCGTCGCCGAATCATGCACGAAAACGTCTTCCAGACATCGTTCACGTATCATCTAAAAAAAGCTACCGATTTCTGGAACACTATTGCAATCTCCCAGGATATCGGAACGTCAGTCACAACCCAAACGTGAGGTGAATCTCGAAGCCCATCAAGTCGATGTCGTCTCGATTGGTGACGGCGGGGTTCACGGTGACGGTGGCGGCGCCGTTATGCTTAAAACTTTGAAGGTTGCAGACGTACCACATCGGGGATAACTCCGAACGGTGCCTGCCATCACACCAAAACGGCTACGTAATAAGAAGTCGCATATAGGTAACTCTATTCGTATCGGGCTTGGCTTGCAGCTAACATTCCATGTCCTTACAGGTTTCATGACTGTCACTCACACCACGTTCCTGGTGAGTGAGTATCCATCCGCAAAGGTGGACAAACTTGGAAAAGAAGCGCACGCCCTATGAGGAACACGGAGGACATGCAGTAGGCTTTTTCGGCAAGGAGAGGAGAAAATCCTCACGAGTCTCAAGTACTCTCACGATGTGCCTGGCAGAACCACACAGGGCCCATGGCCCACAGTCTTGAAGTGTATCTCCGAGGAGCATATTTCTACCACAGACCCAAACAACAGAGACGACACAGAGAGTCCTATCCTCCACTTGAAGCCAAGTACAGGGTACATCACCCCCACACTCGGTACCACTGCCTCATCACACGGCACCCCTGCGTCTCTCATTTTGCTTTCGATCTCGCTAACCCCATCTGGTAACCAAAGCACCGTTTCACACCACACGCCCTTAAGCGTCGTTTTGGTCCCTGGCTGCCACTCGCTTGAAAGCTAAAAGAAATGGTCGAACTACGTTGCACACCGGATCCAATGCTGCGTCCGAGGAGTTCTTTGGTCCAAATCCTGAGCTCTGAGTCTCGATCAGTTTTCGTGATCCACACCCTTGGCCACCGTCCAAGGCTCAACGACAAGCTCTCCTCCGTCCCACGATGTTCAGTCAAAACAAGAGACAATACCGGGCAGTCAAGTTAAACGCAGTAACTATACCACAAGGTAACTATAGGAAATTGGTTAGATTGCGGCTGAACTGCATACGCCCTTTGTGAGTTGCAATCTACGTGGAGTGGGAAGACACCAAAAGAGTCAGAATGGTCACAACCCACTCAATGATACCTTAATATCAACTGTTTCTCAGGGGAATCCCGGTGGTGTGGAGGAGACCTGACAAAGTCGTACCCCAACTTTATTCTCTTAGCAGACGGAAGTCCCCCCTTGCTCGTGACGTCCACAAAGCCTTGGGATTTGCTCTGACTGGCACACTGTTACCCTCCAAGCCCTGTTCTTCGTCCTCGTTTTCTTGCCCAGTATTTCCAGCGAGTTGTCACAGTGGAAGTCCTACAGGAAAGTCTGGGGAAGCAAATACACGGGTCAGTATGTATAGTGATGGCCTTTCTATCTGGTTCTTTACCAGCTAGGCAAGGTTAGTGTCTATACGGCTCGGGACGCCTTCCTTGTCCTTTCTCCTCATACTCACACACAAAAGCGGCGGTACTTGGTATCCTTACCACGTACCTAGTGCTACGGGGTTCTCCGTGCAACTTAATCTTGTCACATGGCTTACTGCATTAGCTCTTCTTCAGTAGATCTTGTCTACATTATGAAACAGTAACGCAAGTATGAGCCGATGTTTCTTCGACAGACCAGGCAAGTCAACAGGCACGACAGGTCCTGCCTATTTAACTAGACTCTAGGCGACATGGGAAGTTGGGTACCGGATAGGTGTATGCAGGGCCAAGCTTCCCTTACCGAAAGCCACAATCATGAGAATGTTCCCGAAGTCGGCGAGGGTTTGGTCAACCAAGCGGTTCTACTAAGGACCTACGGTATTTGATGGGAATACTACCATGCTACTTTGATCACTTCATGTTGTTCCTAACCAGACGTATACGAGGGTGAAGGCTTGCTAAAACCACATCAACGCCCCATCCACTGGAGGATACAGACCTGCCTTGCACTTTCCTGTGACCATCCTTCCACATTTTCACAAACTGGTTAACAAACCAAAAGCCAAGACATCACTTACTCCTGCAGCTGATGTTGATCATCGACGCCTCTGCCTGACTTATTTTTACCTACACTTCCGTCCTTGTGGGGTTGCGTCAGAGTACACTACATACCCAGCCTTCCTTACCAAATCCTCCTCAGACGCATATCCCTTGATCCAGTCTTCGAAGTCTTTCACCTCGTCGGTGAACAAGCCTGGATATCGGGTTTGGACACATGAAAGTGGCGGAGTACACTAGGTGCTTCTGGACACGCAGGACACGCAGAATCATCACGAGCCTCATCTGTGAAGCATTGATACCTTACGTACCTCTGATAGAGAGCACGAAAACGGAAACCAGACTCCTCTTCCTAGCTCTTTAAGCGCCGAAGGTTTCTTATTTAGGACATATCTTGAAGCTCTCCAACACCATGTCCACCAATTTCCGCATCCCCACAGCATCCCTCGGAGCAGGAGGTACCTGGCGTGAAGAAGAACAGCCACACTCACATACCTCGTTTCCCCGTCGTCCTTCTACCTCATTATTGGCGTTCCCGTCAGGCTGGTCAACAACTGCACTGAACGACGAACACTTAAAGGGTGGCCCAGGAGTTCAACTACTTGAGCAGGGTGTTTGGGGAGTTGTTGCTGAAAAGGAGCAGCGGCTTGGCGGCGTTCAAAAAACTCGTATTACTAGATCGACATATTCGAGACGACGACGGTCACTGTCTGGACCTGGAACAGTCAAGCAAGGAAACAAGGGAAAGAGGCTGAGGAGCAACAGGTTGGTGAAGGATTTGGAGCGTGAGTATTTCATATGTTTTATCTTTCACAGCACCAAACCTCTTTCTTACTCAGTTACCTACTTATCTAAGCTGTTGTCACAACCTTGAAGGCAGGAGATAATCTCATACCAAATTTCTACATACAGGTCATGACTCCCAGACTACAGTCGAGGAGGTAGTTGAAGAGCATAAACGACCGAATCAACCTGAGCATATCGATGTTGAAGACGACGACGATTCATCCACCATCATCTGTGCCATAGACACACGCCTAGTAGGGAGCGACACTGTCGGACACAACAGTCACAAGCTCGGCAAGGGAAAAAAGGCACCAACAGATATTGACCCATCAAATTCACCATCAACTACCACAACCCCGCCTTCACCAATTTCAGATCTTGTCGAATTCAGCTCACCACAACCCAGCAAGAAGATGTCCTCACGCTCCTCACGCTCCTCACGACACTCCTCCTCCTCCCAATCCCCCTCCCCCTCCCATACCTGCTCCCCACCAACATCAAAAAAGTCGTCCCTGCCCTCCTCACCAAGGCCAAAATCATCCTCAACTTCCCCACAAACCACTTCACGCACCAGAACAGCAGAAAAGGACAGAAGAACCACAGTACCTCTAAACGACAAAGATGACAAAAATGACAAAGATAAAGATGACAAAGACGACTGGCACCAAATCCACGAACCGGAACAACGTCGACGCATCCAGAACCGCATCGCCCAGCGCAAGTTCCGCGAAAAAGCCCGCTCGCTCAAGGACCAGGCCGCGCGCGACGAGCAGAATAGGAGGTTTGCCGGGTGTGCTTATACGTGTCCTTCTGTTGACGGCCTGCTTTTTGAGAATGAGACGTATTTTCCTGAGGAGATGGATGGCTTCGCGGAGGGGGTAGGGGAAGGGGAGGTAACGCCCGGCGAGGAGACAAGGGACAAAGTGGGAGGCGAGAGGGTATTGTCTGGTTTACCATGGGGTGGACTGAGTATGAGGTTTGTGGTGGGGAGAGGACATGAGTATTATCGATATCAAACGACTTCGAGGGGATCAGGGTCTGGATCGGGGTCTGGGAATGGCACTGGGATGGGGACGGGAACAGCCGCGACGACACTGTCCCCTACCTCTACTATTACAGCTTTGAACACACCGCAGCTACAACAGCAACAACAACAATCGGCTACATATTACGGACACGCAACAAGTGCAGGCAGCGGGTCATCGTCGTCTTTGTCTCCATATGGGATGATGATGATGCCTGGATCTATGGGCATAGGCATGGGTCTGATGGGCAGTGGTGATATGGATATGGATATAGATGTGGATTATTCCATGGCTTCGGGGCCTACAGAAGGACGTGACACGGGCATGGAGTATGTGACTTCTCCTTCAGGATCCATGGCGGGGGTTACTTCGGGGACTGGCACTGGCACTGGCACTGGTATGGATGTGACGTATTATGATTCATCGCCATATTATTACGGCTATGGAACTGGTGGTGGTGGTGGTGGAGGCAGTGTCTATGGAGGTTATGGTGGAAGAGCAGGGCGGATGTGAAAAGGACTGTTGCGTCTGTGAGTGGGTAAGGGCCGTGGCCGTGGCGAGGCTATGGGAATTATGGGTTCTTTGGCTGTTGTTCTTGATGCTTGATGATGGTTGGTCGGGATACGGTGTTTCTGTGATGACTTTGATTTCTTTTCACTTCTTTCCTGTATACGCATTAGCTATTTGTCTGTATACCCAACTTTTCTCTCGGCTCCTAAACTTGTTAGATCAGTAGAACTCACAGGTTCCCCACGACTGTTACTGTTTTTTTTGGTCTGTCTGGAGCACCGCTTAGTTCAGCTTGGATATGCGAGTCACCTCCTCGGTGGACCATCGTGTCTTCGTGCATGCAAGAATTCTTCGTATCTCCCCTCTTCGCTAGTTGTCTTTGGAAATCACTTACCTAACATTAAGATGGTCGATTTCCGATACCTTGCATGGTGGACATGACCAAACCATGTACCGCGTCAAGCGTAGAGGATGTAGTCAACCAACGTTATTACCAGGGGTAGAAGATCCCCGCCTCTAGAAGCTCGCAATCCACGCCTCATTACCACATTGGCGTCTGGGAGCCAAGGTAGCCTACCGCATATTACGCCCAACTGTCCCATCCTTCTAGAAGGTTTGGAAAGGCTTCCGTGACACGGACACACGGCTCGGATAGGACCCACAGCATGTTGTCGCACACACTGCATACCTACCACTGTAGGGACCTACATCGTCAATAGCCAAGCTGGTACCGAATGTGTCTGTGGATGATCCTGATAGTACCTGAGAAGACGATCAAGGTAAGGCGAGGCGAGTTCCAGGCAAGGCAAGGCGAACATCCCGTTTTGAGTTCCTTATCAACGGGCTGGGTAAATTGCCGTGTGATTTTGCATTCTTCCATGCGTCTTCTACGCATCTTCTTTGCATCCCGGATATTAATGAGCTGTAGGTCTGCGCAGAAATGGTGAGTGTGTGTGGGTTGAAGCATATCAGTTTCGGTAGCTTGGATAGGGTTGGATTTCCCTTCTCTCTCCCTCCCATTGAGTAAAACCTGTAGATCAGTTCTCTTCGCTTGATTCTTGGCTTTACCACCCGCTACCCACCCCCCGATCTCACGCCGAGCCGCGCCGCCGCCGCCGCATTCTTGCTTGTCAAAAGTTGCTTGCAGCATGCATGAAGCTGCCTGAGGTTGTGGAACCCAAGACGAGCAGAGTGACACATGCCCTGCGTGCCTAGACTCAAGACAACAGGCATGACGGTGTGACTAAATCAGTAACAGCGGACCGTATGAGCATCTTGCTTGTGATGGAGCCGTGGTGTGACAGGTCGGGCGGGAGGATCAACAGGATTGGACAGGTTGTCGATAACGTAGTGGAGGGCAGACACGGGAGACGAGGGCAGAACGAGGCCACTAAGCCACCGCCCACAGTGATAGATATTCTTCGGTTCGGGCAGCGTCCGCAGACACGGGCCACAGCGTAGGGCGGGTGTGATATGTCTCAGTTGACCGACCATACATAGCCGTTGGACCACCGATTGCCCGGATCTAATGACCGAGAATGGGTGAGTGTTCTCTTGTGCCTCGTGATGACAGAAAGAAGGACATGATATTGCAGCCGAAGATTAGCCTTTTGACGAATACAAGCTTCCATAGGGAACATCAACAGTGGAATACAGGATACCTCAAGAGGTGGAAGGGAACACAACCATGAACAGAGACAGAATCTGGGCTCACCGGCGCCGAGATTCAGGAAAGGGACCATTCTTCGGTGCCGTACATGGTACATGACGCATGGTCCCTTTTTGTCAGGGGCTACTGCAGGCACGCCGTTTCTTGAACGTCATGTCCCGTAAACGGTCACAGGATACGGTGAAGACTTCAACGTCAGGTGTGCCTGGGGAGGTACTCACCTAGGTAGGATATCTCGTCGACCGAAGGCTGGAAGCCATTCTACAAAATCAAGACTCGTCCACATAGCGTGCATATCTCAGACCGCGTGACTGTCTCGGACCTGTAAACTGGCGAGAGAATATCCTATTTTGAGGGTTCGTCGACACTCGTTAATGGATTACATAGTAAGGTGGATGGAACGTTGCAGACAGTGGGCGTTCGGCCTGGGGATCTGTACGAGGCTGAAGTCTTGGCGAGACTGGCTGGTGATCTAGCCATGATCTAGATGGCTTGAGGTGATTGAGACAATCCGGTATGATATGTCTATCTCCGGCAATGAATGAAGCTATTCTGGGATCTGCCACAATGCCGGCGTCGACGCCCGTAGAGAAGAATGATGCCCATCCGAGAATAGACGTCGTGTGTTATGTCGGGACGGCCTTATAGGGCTGCAGTGCGTGGAATGAAGCATGGCGTCGGTGGTGATGGGACGGAAGAAATGTCATTCGCAGAGTTTCGTGTGCGGCTGAGGTTCCAAAAGAGATGAAACGAAGAAAGAGTTGAGGTTGTCGTGGAGTGGAATTGGAGACACGGGACGAGAGCTGGAGCTGGAGCTTGAGCTGGAGCTTGAACTGAAGTCAAGGAAAAGGTGGGGTAGCGGGGTCCCAATGGGATTTACCATAGCCCCGCAATGTGTTGAAGAGACCCACTTGGGCTTTTGGAGTCTCTGTGTGGGGTCAGGGGGTCCTGGTTTAGGCGACTTTACCCCTGCAGATTGGTGCCAGCTTCATCGTTATGGAACGTGTTCGGAAAATACCTAGCAACACCATCACAACTTCCGACCCTTCCCATCACCAACATCAACACACTGTCCTGGAACTGGGCGCTAATTTGACAGACCCGAGCCAGCCTGTTGCCAGTTCCTCATTTGTTTTCCAATACAGACCTGGCTTCGGAAAATTACCAATGTCCAACTAGAAAGCTAAAAACAGCTACACCGAACAGCTATCCCGAAGCTTAGAGGTACCACACCCCCCTTTCACTCATCTGGGGAACAACCTCAAGTCATGGCGCCACCATCGCGGCAACCGCGCCAATTGAGCCTGGTGCTCGCCCTCTTCCTCCTCTGTTTCAACGCCCTCTTTGGCCAAGCCGCCGCCCAAGAGGACGAGGCCATCCTTAACAGCGAGATTGCTCGACTTAACAACCAGAGCCTGCTATGGGGTCCCTATCGTCCTAACCTCTACTTCGGTGTCCGCCCCCGCATACCCAAGTCCTTGATGGCTGGTCTTTTGTGGGGCAAGGTTGAGACATACACCGACTATCAGACCTCTCTCCGGTACACGTGCGAGCAGAACGAGGGCATGAAGGGTTATGGCTGGGACGAATACGACACTAGAAGGGGCGGTGTTCAGTCCATCCACGACACTGAGAACGGCGTCGACATCACCACTTCTTTCGTCAAGGTACCTGGCGGTGCCAATGGTGGCAGTTGGGCGGCCAGAGTCAAGGGTCAGCTCCAGGAGGGTGTGCCCTCGGACCGCAAGACTGCTGTCATCCTCTACGTCACCCAGGAGGGACTTGGTACACTCGAGGCTGTCAAGGGAGATGATGAGAATGGCTATGAGGGCGATGTCACCCTCAACGGCAACTCTGCTGCCCTCGGAGACTACAAGCTTGTCCTCACCAAGGGCGAGGGAAAACACCCCAAGAGCAACCACAAGGTCACCGAAATGCGTGGCGATGCCCACACCGTGGTCCAGTCCTTGAACTATCAGGAAGAGTTCCTTTGGCAGGCCAAGGGCATTGTCTTCAAGCAGCTGAAGGAGAGTGTCGATGCTTTCGTTGAGAAACACTTTGACAAGGAAGACCCCCCGCCGGCCTGGCAGGTGTTCCAACTCGAGAATCGCCCTGGAGCTGGAAACGTGCAGATCATCCAGAGGGTCTTTGAGGGCGACTTCGAGTTTGATATCCTGTTCTCCAGTGCCTCGGCTGGCAAGGAACTCTCCAGTGGCGATCTGACCAGGGAAATCCAGGAGGCAACCGAGTCCTTCGGTGAACGCTTCTCGAGCGTCTTTGCCATCAAGGCCCCCTTTACTGCCGACAAGTACAAGAAGTTTGGAAGGAGCATGTTTTCCAACCTCATTGGCGGTATTGGATATTTTTTCGGAGAATCAGTTGTCGATCGTTCGTATGCGCCCGAGTATGAGGAGGAAGATGAGGGATTCTGGGAGGAGGCTGCGGCGGCCAGAGCTCGCAACAAGCCCACGCTCGAGGGCCCTTATGAGCTCTTCACCAGCATCCCGTCTCGCCCCTTCTTCCCCAGAGGCTTCTTGTGGGATGAGGGCTTCCACCTGCTTCCCATTGCCGATTGGGATATTGATCTTGCCATGGAGATTGTCAAGAGCTGGTACAATCTCATGGACGAAGAAGGATGGATCGCCCGTGAACAGATTCTGGGCGCGGAGGCCAGGAGCAAGGTTCCGGAAGAGTTCCAGACCCAGTATCCTCACTACGCCAACCCACCCACGCTGTTCTTCATTATCGACTCGTTCGTCGACAGGCTGCTCAAGGCCAACGGCAGCGTGCCTGTTGTCAAGGAGCACCTTTCCCAGGGTGTCTCCCTTTCCAGCGCGTCCGTCGACAACGTTGAGGTAGGATTGGAGTATCTCCGCCGAATCTACCCGCTTCTTCGTCGCCAGTTCTACTGGTTCAAGAAGACACAGTACGGTGATATCAAGTCTTACGATCGCGAGGCCTATTCTTCCCGTGAGGCCTACAGGTGGCGCGGCCGCACGGTTCCCCATTGCTTGACCAGTGGCTTGGACGACTACCCTCGCCCTCAGCCCCCTCACCCTGGTGAGCTCCATGTCGACCTCATGTCGTGGGTTGGCCTGATGGCCAAGTCGTTGGCCAACATCGCCCAGGTTATTGCGCCTGAGGAGGCTGAGGACTACACCAAGGTTCTCGACGGAATCGAGCACAACCTCGATGACCTGCATTGGTCTGAGAAGGACGGCTGCTACTGCGATGCCACCATTGACGAGTTTGAGGAGCACACGCTCGTGTGCCACAAGGGATACATCTCCCTTTTCCCGTTCCTGACTGGCTTGTTGAAGCCCGATAGCCCCAAGCTCGGCAAGATCCTGGCCCTCATTGGTGATGAAGAAGAGCTGTGGAGTCCTTATGGCATCCGCAGCTTGAGCAAGAAGGATGAGAACTATGGGTCTGCTGAGAATTACTGGAGAAGTCCCATCTGGATTAACATCAACTACCTTGCCATTACCCAGCTTTACGTAAGTTTACCTCTTGGTTCTACCTCACCGCTTACACGGTGATGCTAACCATAGTCACAGAACATTGCAACCCTAGAAGGACCCTATCAAGAGACAGCCCGCGACTTGTACCAGAGGCTTCGCAAAAACGTTGTCGAGACGATCTACAGCAGCTGGGAGGAGACGGGCTTCGCCTGGGAGCAGTACAACCCGGAGACGGGCAAGGGCCAGCGCACCCAGCACTTTACCGGCTGGACCAGCTTGGTGGTCAAGATCATGGCCATGGATGACCTGGAGGCTGTCCCGGTAGCAGTCCCAGTCGACCCAGAGTACGTCAAGGACGAGCTATAATGCCCCCCAAGACCGAACTGTCCTCTGATTAAGATATGTCGCTAGAAACAACGAACGGGGCTTGTAGACAGAAGCGATGACAAGGTCTAGGATGTCTTCGAGACATGTCATCGTATTAACACATTTGACTACCAAACTGCTGTCGTTCCCTTCTTTGTTTTGATAATCTAGCTATTGTCCAGTGTTTTAAAGCTTGTTCGCAGTCAGGGGGTGGCGCAGTTGAGTCTTCTGCCATGCACAACCCTAACCCGGGGCCCTTACCCTGCTGCTAAACAGGTGCTATATTTGGCCCCATAGCTCTGTGCTCCTGAGCCCCGCGAGGGACCCCATTCGGCGGGCCCCTCTCACCCCTGACTGAAGTTACAGTTACGTGATAAGAGCCAGGTCCGGGCATCAAACATGGGACAGCACATCCGCCCGTCGTATCCAACTGCCTGCTGCTTTGCTTTCCATTCCGCCTTTCTGTTAACAACTTGTACGGTACGGAGCTGGCTTGTTGTTCAATGCAGTCCAATCGAACAACCACGACTCCTCGTATCGGTAGTATTACATCTCACGACGACGACGACGGTTTCTCAGATATCATTCTGGCCGGCAGCAGCATGAATCTTCGATACGTCCCGCCTTGAAACTAGCACTTGTACATACCTTTCTTTACTGGACCTTGACCGATCACCAACACCAACATCCACCTTTGAACATAAAAAGTCGTAACAACACCAGACCATAGCTAGCTAGCTACCTACTGCAATACCATAACAATAATTACCGGACCGAGACACAAACAAACACAACACCATGTCCAACTTCAAGAGGGCCTCTATGGCGGGTGCCGGATCAAAGTCCGCCTCTTCATCAGCGGCGATGGCAGCAGGCGGCAACAACAAGAACGGCAGCATTTTGAATGCCCTCCGAGCAACCACAATGATTGATTCCAAGCCAGTATTACCAGCCGGTATGTTGCCCTAGAATACCACACCGTATCCTCGAACCTAGCAGCAGCTAACCACACTCTACAACTCCCCAGAAATCCTCGTCACAATCCTCGACTACCTCCCCGTCTCCGACCTCCTCCGCTTCGCCCGCACCTCGCGCCGCATGCGCGAGATGGTCTACGACGACACCCGCTGGGTTGCCCGCCTTCGCTCCATGGGGGTGTGGGACGAAGCCGAAGCCCGGCGGCGGTTCGAGGAGGTGATGAAGCGACGGCGCGAAGCCGCCGAACGGGCGGAGAGGGAAAGACTTGCCGCTGCAGCAGCGGCAGGGAGGGGACAACACGTTATTCCGGGACAAACACAGCATCTTTTTCCTGTGTTACAACAACAGCAGCCGCCGCCGCCGCCGCCGGTGATAACGACTACACTGTTTGATGCGGGCGAGGAGGAGCTGAGGAGGAAAAGGATCGCGGAGGAGCAGCAGAAAAGAGAGCAGGCGATAAGGGAGGCGGCGCAGAGGAGGGCGGTGGAGGAGATGGAGGGGTTGCAGGACGGGTTTGAGACGATGAAAGTTGGTGGTGCTACCAGTGGTGGTGGTGCGTTAGGAGGACTGCTACCAACAGCGGCACAACAAAAAGACCCCTTCTCCGATCCCGAAGCGTTACTAAACGTGATCAAGAACGCCCGCTCCATCCGTGGCCACGCCCGGCAAGAGTACGGCAAGATCTACGGCGCGCTAGCACCCTTCTACTTCGACCTGGCCAAGGCGAAATCGCACACGGACCCGGTCGTCTTCCGCGTGTTTCGGGACCCGGAGCGGCAGGCGCAGATGCTGGCCAACCTACGGACGTTCGCCAAGTCGGACTGGGCCGCGGGGTGGCGGCAGCGCGAGGAGAAGCTGGCGACCATGGCGGGCATCTTCGAGAGCGCGGTGCTGCACGAGTTCGAGACGGGCTACGAGTTCTGGGACGTTGATGGGCGGATGCACAAGTACGCGCATGTGCTGGATCTGCTGAACGGCGGGACAGCGGCGGTGGAGCTGTTTATCCAGAAACATCCGATCTTCTCGGACAAAGAGGTGTTGGCGAACCCGATGGATTGCGTGAATCAGGCGCTGGCGGACGACGTCACGCTGGAGCCGTCGAGGCGGTTCTTTGAGGTGTTGACGGCCAAAGTGAACGAGCAGGCGGATATTATCCAGCGGGTGTTTCCGAAGCCGGCCGAGGTGTTTTGGTTGTTGATGGGGAAAATCAGGGACGATATCCTGACGGACTACGTGACGCCGCTCTTTGACGAGACGCACGAGAGGAGCTTGGCGGCGTATGTGAAGGCCGTCTCGGGCTTGTTTGAGCAGACGTTGCAGTTCTTTAGGACGGTGAATGCGCCCAAGGACGAAAAGAACCCTAAGGAGCAAGGGGCGCTTGCGAAAGAGTTTGCACTCAAAGTGTTTGAACAGCATCTGGATCTTTACCTGGCCGATGAGCTGGATTACTTCACCCAGCAGGCGGAGGCGGAGGTGGGCGAGTGGGAGAAGAAACTGTCGGAGCAGGATGCTACGGCGGAGTCGTTCTACATGGGCAGCTTCACTAACCGACAGGCGGATAAGAAGGACTTCTTGACGTCGTTCAAGAAAGTGGTTATGATGCCCGTTTCTGTTCTGCCCAGTTTACCGCTGGGGTCGCCCTTTGCTTCAAAGCCGGCTGTAACCCCAACGACGGCCACGACAGCAGCGGCGAACGGTGGCGAGTTACAGGCGCCGGAGAATCCTGAGCAGTCTCGTCCAGTTTCTCCCAGTCTGGCGGCGCCAGGGATTGTTGATCGTACAGGAAGTCCCTTGCCGGACAAGGCTCCCACGGATGAGCTAGCAGCAAAGGCGGCACTAATGACCTCCAGACTAGAAGGCATCAAGTCTCTCTTCAGCATCGAGGTTGCCCTCAGTCTCGTTCACAACGCCAAATCTAGTCTCGGCCGCGCCGCAGTTTTTATTCAGTTAGGCGGCCAAGCCGGCGGCGAAGCTCGTGAGCAATGCGAGGCCATATTCGTCGCGTTGCTCCGCATCCTCGGCGGCCGTCACATCAAGCCTGGTTTCGACAAGGCAGTCGCCCACCTTTCGCAATACAATCCGCGCGAGGTCTCCCACCACGACAAGGGCGGCGTGGCGCCCCTAGTGACCTTTATCGAGCTCGTCAACGTCGGCGACCTTATCTCACAAATGATTGACGTCTTCTACGAGCAACAGCTCACAACACCCAAGATCGCAGACCGCAACGACTTTTTGGACCCAGCCGGTCTGGCCAAGAAGAAATTCGAGCAGATGCTCGACGAAAGCGTCGCGGCCGGTCTCAACAAGGGCATTGACGTGCTGATGGACGAAGTCGAGTACGTCTGCGCCACCACGCAACAACCAACCGACTACAACCCGACCATGACCACCGACCCGTTCAACGACGCGGCCAGCATCAGCGGCATGAGCGTCACCACCGAAGGTACCACCGGTAGCAGTAGTAACCACCACAGCAGCAGCAGCAACAATAACAACAGAAAATCCCGCTACAAATCCGGCACGCCCTCCATCTGGTCCCTCCCCTCTCTCCCCGGCACGCCCACCACCCCCGGCGGTGGCTCCAGCAACAGCAACACGAACTCGCTCGGCCCGCAAGACATCGGCCCCACACCCACCGCCCTCCGCATCCGCGACCTCGTCGCCTCACACACCTCCATGCTGACGGGCTCAACGGATAAATCGATGCTAGACGTATTCAACGGCGAAGTCGGCCTTCGCCTCTTTGCCGCAGTCTGCAAGCACCTCAAGCGTCAACGCATCTCCACCGAGGGCGCCATCAAGCTCATTGCCGACGTAAATTTGTATTATGAGTACATCCGCACCCTCAAAAACAACGATTTGCTAGCGTACTTCAAAGCATTGAGGGAGTTGAGTCAGATTTACCTGATTGATGCTAAGCACCATGCCAAGGAGATGGCGACGATTATTGCGGATAACGAGCGGTTTAGTGGTGTTTTCAGGGCCGAGGAGGTATATGAGTATGCGGAACGACGGGCGGATTGGTATAGTGTTAGGAAGGAAGTGGAGAGGGCTATGTATGGGTTGGAGTGTGTGGTTATGTGATGTGAGTAGTGAGGAATCGGGTGAAAAAGAAGCATTCGGTCGGTAATGGGAGAAATGGAATGTGGAGGGGCGTAAATATTCGACTATATAATCAACATAACAGCGAGCATTTTGGATTATACTATAGAGAAGCATGATGAGAAGCTATATAGTAGTAGATAAAATGGTTTATTCCGGTTCTTTGTTCAGATCCTCCATAATATGTATTACACAAAAGGAATGAACCATTTGCCCTCAACGTTCAGCAGCAGCTTGTACGATATTCTCAAAAGTAGTAAATAATAATTAAAACTGATGACCTCTATATGTGTTGTTCTGTGTTTCATGCGCCCAAACGCCTTTCTTCACGCTCTATAGTGCCAACGCCAATGCCGTGCATACCGTATGTAACCTCCTTTCCAACCAACCCAGTCCGGTATATGTATCCGTTTCATAAACATATAATAATGCATTTCCCAGAAAGATGCTTCGACTTCGATCATGAATAGCTCCCTCACCTCACCTCACCTCACCTAGCGAGCACCAAAGTCCAATTTCCTAGCAACCTTGGACCCGCGCACGTCGTCATCCTCCACCATACCATTCCGTCTCTTCAAATCCGCCGCCGCCTTCTCCTCCGCCCCAGCCGTCTTCTTAGGCAGATCGTGCTTCGGCGTCGGCTTCGGATCTGCCTTCCACCACCTATGTTCCAGCATCTCCCTCGCCGTGATGCGCCTCCTCGGATCCAGAATCAGCGTCTTGGCCAGCAGATCCACGCCGTCGGACCCGACCGCGCCGAACCGGCCCATGTATTTTTCTTTACCCGCCACGGGCACCACGTCGCTCGGCACCGTGTACTCCTTCAGCTGCGTCACCCCCGGCCAGTTCTCCTCCGTTGGCGTGCCGATTTCCCTGCAGATCAGCGCGATCTGCTCCACCTCCGAGTTACCCGGCAGGTACGGGTTGCGGATGATGAGTTCCGCGAACACGAGCCCCACCGACCACACGTCTACCGCGCCCGAGTAGTGTCGGGCGCCGAACAGCAGCTCGGGAGGCCGGTACCATCGCGTAATCACGTTCGCTGTCATCCGCACCCCCGGGTCGGCAAAGCTCCGCGCCAGACCGAAATCGGCCAGCTTGACCTCACCGTCGGCCGCGATCAGCAGGTTGTTCGGCTTGATATCGCGGTGGAGAACGTAGTTGTCGTGACACCACCAGACGGCGCGCGTGAGCATGCCCATCCACGCTTTGATGTCGGCGGCGCCGTAGCGGACGTGGTCGACGTCGCGGATGAGCATTTCCAGGTCACCGAGGGGCAGGTATTCGAGCACGAGGTTGAGGTTCTGGTCCTTGGAGGAGAAGACGCTGTGCAGGATGATGATGTTGGCGTGCCCGCGAAGCTTTTGCAGGTACTTCATCTCGCGGATGGCGTCGGGGGCGATGCCGTCTTGGTATTCCTTTTGGACTTTTATTTTCTTGATGGCGACCTTCACCGAGGCGTCGACGCGCGAGTGGCCCAGGTAGACGTTGGCGTAGGTACCTTCACCGAGTTTCTTGCCTGGAAGATGATCACAAGAGGGATTCGTTAGTTCTGGGGAAACACCGGCGAAATGAGTTTGGTATGACGGATACACGCAAACGCACCCTTGATGTATTTGTTCTTCTCGTCTTCGTTCATCTGCTCCATGAGATCCATGGTCGGACGGGCTTCGGCGGCGATTCGCTGGCCCCGGGCCGAGCGCGGGAGTCCTCCGCTAGGGGTGCCGCCGCTGGATGTCGGGAGGGATTTCGAGGGCTGAAGCGCATCGGTCGGACGCGCAACAAGAGGGGAGTTCGCCATCTTGGCTTGGTGGATTCGGGTGAACCTCGCGCAGACGGTGGACGGCGGACGGTGATCCCAGACAGGAAGAGTCGATTAGTCGAGAGGTCTCTGGGAAAGTGACGGGTTCGAGGGATGAAAGAATAGGGTCGGGCGCCAATGGCGAATAAATAGCCGGACGGTTGTTGTTTTTTGTTTGTTGTTGATGTTGGGCCGCTTCGTAGAGGCAGCCTTGTGCATGTACGGAGTTAAGATAAGGAGGATAAGAGGTAAGGGAGAGTGGGATTAAACTTTGGCGCAGGTGGATGCATGCGCGGTGATGGATTCGGCGGAAGGGCCCTGAGTGGAGGTCATCCCCGTGTGTCTGTGGGTCCACTGCCAGCAGGTTACAGTGAGATGGTGACTTTCATCTGAGTTTCTCATACTAACATCAAAAATATTATCAAACATTCAACTAAGTTGAAATAAAAACACCAGCCGTGTTTCTTCACATATCGGTTTTCATATCTTATCATGGTATGCATCTCACCTTCAACATCTCCGTGGTGGGAACCTAATGGAATATGCCGATGTCACCGTCACACCGATCAAACTCGTTTAGGTAAGCACTAACAGACCAAGACCCCTGTATCCGCAATGAATTGACCAAGAAACACGCTAAACCCCAGACGGCTCAGTGCTCCGTAGAGATGGGCAGACGTCTGGACCCTGACGTCACAGCTCACCCAACCAAAGTGGCAGTGTGAAGGCTCTTCCCCTTCTCATGACTGATGTGCATCGCAGACAGATCGGGGACGGGCTTCGACATCAGTCCGTCCGGCGGGCAGGAGATCATCACGTTGGTGCTGGGATTAGAAAAGAAAGATGATGATGAAACGAATACCATGCCATGCCAATGCCATGGCAGAGAGACAAGTAAGTAAACCACGAGAGGTTTAGTGTAAGCATCATCATAACGTGTCTAGAACCCAATCTCTTACTCTACCATAGAATAAAACTTTAAGGTCCCCCATTGTGCTCACTCCATCTCATCTCGTCATACTCCCCCCCTTTTTGACCTTTTTTTTCCCTTCCTGTGCCAACCCGGAACTTTTGGAGAAAAAGGTCTTCCGTTGTCAACATTCCACTCTACCGGTACCTTTGACACAAAAAACAACATCCGTCCGTGGTACTTAGCACCCGACCAACCCAACACAACAGTCGATTGTGGCTGTCGAGACGAGACGACCGGGCCAAGAGCATTCTTTAAACTTCCACATTGTCAGCATAATATCTAATCACACATATCAACCCCCACGAAACGACAAGACATTCCAGTTTTCCACTTTCAACAACCCACACATACTTTTGTGAGGAAGGGCGTGCGTGCGTGCTTTGGTGCTTCTTCGTCCAAACTCCCCCTCCAACGCTCGTTCCTGGTTCCTGCATCCCGTCTCTGGGCTGCTCGTGCATCTACCTACCGTACCTACCTAGCGAAAAGGTCTGGGCGCACACACCCGGTTGTTAACATCATACATCGATCACACCAAACCACCAAGCCATCGGAAGAAAAAAGAAAACAAACCGCCAAAAATGTTGCGAGGGATACTATCATACTGGGTAAGTAAAGCAATCCATCCAAAAAAAAAAAATTTGTTTTTTTGCCCCCACATCTTCAAAAGTTAACACGCAATGCCCTTACTCTTCCAGATCTTCCCCATAATCAGTGGCGTAGTCTGGCTCGGCACCCTTTTAGGGTTACTAATCTACTGGTGCACCAACGAGAACCGACGACACTACTCGTCCATGGACGAGCGGCAGACCATCGCGTACATCTCTGACGTGGGCGCCTCGACGTTAAAACCGCTCTTCATCGCGGGCTGTGCTGTGACCACGGTGTTTCTGGACCTCTCCTTCGGCGCCGACCGCTGGCTGCGCCACAAGGGCCGGCTGGTGCCCAACACGACGACGACGGAAAAGGTGCTGTCGGGCATGACCATCGTCTTCGCCATCATCGGCACCTGCGGCTTGATCCTGCTGTCCATCTTCGACACGGCGCGCCACCCCAAGCTGCACAACATCTTTCTGCTGCTGTTCATCGCCGGCTACGTGATCAGTGCCATCTTCATCTGCTGGGAGTACCAGCGTCTGGGCATGCGGTACCGTGATCATCGGGTTTTGCGCATCTCGTTCTGGATCAAGCTGGTCTTTGTCATTGTCGAGATCATCCTCGCCATCGCGTTCGCCAGCTGCTCGTTTACACACCACTATAACCCTGCGGCCGTTTTGGAGTGGACGATTGCCTTCATCTTCAGCTTCTACGTCTTTTCATTCTGGATCGACCTGTATCCCGCCGTCAGGACCAAGGGGAGCGGTGGATACAGGGGCAACAAGGGCGGCATGAATGAACATGGTGAATCTGGACAGAGTATGGAGGAGCAAGGGATTGCCGGCAATGATAGGACGTTGATGGGAGAGGGACATGGGCATGGACATGGACATGGTGGCTATGATGACCCGAGGAACAGTTACTACAGTGGCAATGGGTATAGTGGCAGCCGGCCGGGTATGGCGGGGAATTATCAAAGTGGGTTGAGGGGGATGGCTCTCCCTAATGATTTTTAGGTGCATGGCTTTGGAAAATGATGCGATCAACAAAAAGGGATATCAGAAAAAGGGACCAAGAAGGATAATATTGAATGGGCGTAGGTTGAAGGATTGCCATGTAGGATACCACACTTGTCTTTTTTTTTCGACTTCACGACGAGCAAGCAAGCAAGCGAAGAGCGGATTCCCCTTTTCGCTTTACGAGGCGATTCGAGGATACAGCTTCGGATTACGACTTTTATGAGGCGTTTATGGGATGGGCAAATCTTTGGTTTTAGATTCTTCGCTTCTTTTTTTTGTATACCTTTGTACTGTGAACCTTTGCAGTAATTTAGATATCATCAGAACCTTACCTACCTCTGTTCAGTTTGAAGCACAAACTCTTAAAAAATCTTGTCAGCATGCCGTACTTAGTTTGGTACGTCCGTTGTGTACCGCAAATCACGTCGTGTATCCCATGTTATAAAAATGCTATGATCCATTCATCCATCCATCCATCGATAACACCCCACCTCAGTATCCTTCCGTCCAATGTTCAAACCAAGTATTCCCCCAAGTACACCCAAACCACTTCCCGAGAAACACAAAAAATAATGCCACTGTCATCCCATCGTTACACGTATATGTCTACACCACTTCATCAAATCCCGCAAACCCAAACCTACGCACGCTCCCTAGTCGGATATCCCGCCCCCTCCCTCACCGGAGCCCGTATGATCTCCACCTCCCGACTCAACAACTTTCTCAAAGCCGGTGTTACGATCTTTTCCACATTTTCCTCCTTATCCTCTTCCGCCGTAGTCTTGCCCTCATTAACCTTAGTCGTAGCTGCTGCTGCGGGGGGAGACGCCGCCCTAGGCCCCGACTGAGGCCTTGCCGGCAACGGAGGACTGGGTGATTTGGAGCTGGATCTCTTCGCATCTGCCAGAGCGGCCGATGCCGATGAGGATGAGACTGTCGATAACGTCCTCCTGGGAGCGGGGAAGTGTTCCTTCCTGTCGATGGCTTCGATCAGACGACGGAAACGCTGGAAGAGGGCTTCGGCGCGGATGAGGGTCGATTCGAGGTCTATTGTTGTGGACAGCTCGTTCACTGTCATGTCATCATTAGTAACTATCATTGGTAAGTGATAGATGGGGAAGAGGAAAGGGGAGGTTGAAAACATACCATACTTCAGCACCTCATCAAAGTGCTTCAAATGCGTCATGATCACATCGCGATGTCTCTCCAGAATCGCCAGCGCGATAAACAAGTGGAACCCGCTGCTCAGGTAATCCGTCCACAACGCCTCCCACAGGCGCAACACATCCGCCCACTCGAACTCGCGCTTATACCATACCAGCAGCATGCGGAAGAAGAAGAAAAAGTTGGTGCTGTCGGCCGACTCCAGGTGGGCGTACAGCTTTGGGTCCATGAACCGGACCAGGTTGTCCAGCGCCAGGAGCTGTTCCCGCATGCCGGATTGGTCGCGGAGGAAGTTGCGCTCCATCCGGTCCATGAAGTGCTGGAACGCCCAGAAAGCCAGGGCGTCGTCTTGCAGGACGGCGTAGATGGGGGCGAGCAGGTCCGACATGCCCTGGACGTAGCCTAAGCCCTTGTTGTACTCGTTGTAGGTGAGGAGCATGTCCTTGAGTTGCTCCATGTGGACGTTGGTGCCGGTGGAGGCAAAAGGTGAATCAGGGTCAGGGTGGGGGATGTCTTCACCGGCGAAGATGGGGACGTTTCGGTCTGTTCGGTGAACATCCTTCTCTGTAAGTAAAAAAAAGCTGTGTTAGGAATCTCGTCTCTGATGTAGCAATCACAACAAACGTTGAAGTGTTTGGAAAAGGAGGAGTCTTACCGATCCTGTTTCGCTGCTCCCTCCACCACTCGCCCTCTTCACCCTCTCCGCCCAAATCAACCTGCCGCTCCCACCACCCGCCCTTGAGCTTGATGTAAGCGTCTCTCAACGACGCCGCCTGGGCTTTGCGCTCGTCCGCCGTGCTATACCAATCATAAACCCCAAGCAAGAACAGCCACGCCTCCTTGCGCACCCCATCCTCAGGATCAAGCCCGCCATGGAAGATTCTCTCCTTAACCTCATCGACAGTAACACTCAACCTCCCCGTCCTCTCATCAAAGAACCCCTTCCACTCCTTCAGCGTAAGCACCCTCCTCCTCTCCTCCAGGGACAAGCTATTCGCCCCATCAACCAGCTCAAACTCGCCCACATCCGTATCCTCCAACTCCATGACGTCCCGCGCCGTCCACGTCCTCCTGCTGCGGTCCCTATCGCTCTGCTCTGCGATACCCATCGCCCAGCGGGCCAGGTAAATCCTCGCGCTGTCGAACTCGTCCTGCAGCGTCTGCACCTCCGGGTTGCGCAGCAGCCTCCTCATCTGTGGCGGCACGCGCGGGTTGTCCAAGACATCGTTGGCCGCCTGCCTTGTGAATGTAGTCACCTTGCTGAACTTCTCCATCAGATTCCAGCCGGCTTCCTTGATCAGCTTGACAAACGGGTCCATGCCTGCCTCTCCCCTCGCACCGGGACCACCACCGGGACCACGAGACGAAGACCCAGCTTGTTGTTGTTGGGAGGTAGTGGGCTTCCCCCCAAAAGCAACACTGTCCTCCCTGCTAGGCTCAACAAGATAAATGTTCGGCTCCGCCCCGCTCCGCTCAACCTGCACGTACCGCTTCAACCACCGCAGTACTTCGTCTCCTCCCCAAAACATCTGCCCCGCGTCGCCGAAGGGGTCGAAAGTGTCGGCCGTCCGCTTCTTCTTCTGCAGGATCGTGCTCTGGCACTCGCTATCGTGGAAAAACAGCGCCGGAAACGAGTCGCCGGCCCGACTGTTGATGATGATGCTGCCCCACCACCACCCGACGCTCGGCGGGCGGATCAGTAAGCTGTAAACGGCGCTGACGGGGATGGCAAAGGCATAAGGGCCGACGGAGCCGCGGTGGGTGGTTACGGTCGGTGGAGGCGGGACGAGGTAGGATTGTTTGGGAGGCGAGTCGCCATCACAGAGATCGACTTTGACGTAGAGGTTGGCTGCTTCGCCTAGTTGGGATTCGGGGACCCAGGCGAGGAGGAGGTCCGAGGATGCCGGGGTGGACGACGAGTCCCGGGAAGAGGGGCGGTCATCGCGGTGTTGGTGTCGTTGTTGGAGGAGAGCGATATAGCCGGGGATGTTGTCTTTTGCTGATGGCGTCGGGTGGATGTAGACCTGCAAATGTGGTTAGTTACAGTGATAACAGATGGACAACAGGACAAATTCGAACCTTGCTCTTGGTGTATAGGAGTTTCACGCCTCTCCCCGAAGAGGCGTGAGTGATGGTGTTGTAATCGCCTTCCTCGTCGTCGCTCATCGCATAGTAGCTCCCGGCTGGTGACGAAGGTCGCGGTATTGAAGTGAGTACTGAAATCGGGTTCGTTAGCGATACTGTTGCTGGGGTCGCTGTTGAAGTGCTTCCTGTTGTTGTGGTTGTACCTGCTGATGTTGATGGTGTTTGTGATGTTGAACTGTCGGTAACGGGTGGGGTTGTGCTCGACGTCATCTTGATCCGTGTCATGCTGTGGGACTAACAGCCGATAACAGCCATCGACTACTGTGTATACACTTTGTTAGGGGCAAGTAAACAGCGCCCTTTCGATAACCGTCTTGTGGATGATTTTGAATTATGCCGTGCAAAAAAGTATATGATTGTGTGGCACTCGTAGAATCAAGTTATTTGTGTAAGGCAAGAAGAAGTGCAGGTGACGGAGGTGTTGGAGGGATGTAAGGACGGGAAGTTCCTTAACCGACGGAACTTTAGTGTCACAAGCTGTTAATGATCACACGCTCAGTCTCCCGACTCGACCTCTTTAAAGCTTTCATTCATCAATTGCCAACGCGCGTTTGCCCCGCGCTGAGCAGTTCTGCGACCAAAGTCCTGATACCTATTTGCACAGCCCACTGTCTTATACGCTATCGTATATCTACTTTGTTGTCGTACAGTTAAGTCAATGAGACATTGTCACAGGCCTCGTCATCCTATCAGATATTTACTGGGCAGTAGTAGTTCTAGCGGGCCTCCTCTTGTGCAGTCCAGACAAAAACCGCCACGGCAGGGGGTCGCTGAACCCACGACAACCCGGCACCTCCACCCTTGCTACGTTCACTAATAACCACCGCACCTCCGCACCACACCATAACCAATACCTTGGACCTGGTAGTTACGCGGCCATTTTGCCTCTAGAATGTTTTAATTGCTTCTTTGAGATATAGGAGGCCCGCCGAAGGTTCTGGCCGCAATATCGCCAACCAGGACCTTTTCCCGGATACATGCGGCTTGGAATGTGCATACGCGTATAAGCAATTGCATGCCTCACTTACACACATTGTAGCCAAAGTAATCTCTCGTAAGGCGCGCTTTACGTCGGGACGGTGGGCTCTTCTAGTTGCCACTCGCATCCTTCAGTGTCCGCGGTGACAGATACTCTTTCGCCTTGCTCCAAGCCTTCAAATCGTTGGCCGAGATGCCCTGGCCGTCCAGCGTCTGCAAACCGGCATACACGGCCTTGAAGAACTCGCACGCAATCTCCAGGTCCTCGCTAAAAGCCATAGAGTAAGGCACGAACAAATCGGGGAAAGTCGCCAGCCTCTCCGTCTTCTCCTTCTCACTTTTCCAGTTGATCGTCTCGTCAAAGTACGTCTTGACGGCAATTCCGAGAGCAACATCGGGGTTGAAGAGGAAGGGAAGTCTAAGTGTAAAGTCAGCAATCTTCATCCAAAGGTGTAAATAGAGAGGGCAACGTACTGATGGCTGAGCTCCCAGCTATCATCCCTCTTCCGTTGTCCTTGGCCGTAGAGGAAAAGAGAAGCCAGAATGGCCTCCATCAGAGCGCGTTCAGCACTCCTAACCTCGCCAGCCAAAGAGTGGAACGTCAACAGGTTTTTACTCAAAGGACCAGTGTATCCATTAGCTTGGTGTCGCAGCTTAAGCAGTGTCGCACAGCGGCTGATCAGCATCAGACTGGACTTGTCATCATCGTCGCCGTGCATAGGGAGGCTTAGAGGCTCAACAACCTTAAGACTGCCGTTGAGAAGCCCAAATCTCACCATTTCCATGGCAACAAGCACCGACTCGTAGAGATAGGGAACCGTGGGGAACTTCTTCACCGCTGGCTCCAGCGTGACCATGGCGCGGTCCAAAGCCTTGCCCCAGTTAGTCAAGTTGTGTTGGTCATCGATATAACCGCGGACATGGAGGTATCTCCACAGGCAGATCGACTTGATGACGCTCGCTGACTCGACATTCCTCAACTTATTCTCTTGCTTAGCGAAAGTAAGTTTGACAAAATCGGGCTTGGTCAAAGCATGCACTTCGGAAAAGATTGATCCGTGTTCGAAGCCGGGGAAGTGCTGCTTGATGTCCGCTTCCTTGATAACTCCCCATGTGGCCATCTGTACTCCGTAGTTGGTCTTGGTCCTAGCTTCATGACGGTGGTCGAGAACAGTGCCAGAGTAGTTATCATCGTACCAAACCTTTGCCTTGATGTCCTTGTAGACGATACCACGGTGCAACCGAGCGAGCACCAAGCTAAGCGCAGTCTCCTCGAGAGGAACAAGTTGGCTCGAGACGAGCTTCTTGTATTCCTCGGTAGCGGAACCGTCCAAAGTCGGCAAAACATAGACTTGGCTGTGCGTAATCCAGCTCAAGAGGCGAGGCCCAATCAGGCCAGCGTTGAGGTAGTGGAACATCTCCCAAGGAATCTGGAGACCTAGATACTCGTGGTTGTCGTTTGTTAGGTGGTCCGCGTCATGGACCTTAACTACGCCGCTCTCCGCGATATAAACGAAGTGCTTGACAGCCATCCACGCCTTGCGATACTTATCCAGCCAAGTGGGATCCTGGTTCTTGATCAAATCGTGGAAGGTGGTGCTAACCATCGTGACCGACTTGTCGGCTGTCCGGAGCATGTTGATGGCATCCACAATGTTATAAGGCTGGCTCTTGACGAGGGTAGGATCCGTGAGCGGCGGGAATGGAGGAAGGAAGGGGGTGCCGGTCATAAGGAAGGCGTCAATGAAGTGTGGCTCGCTGACGTTGAGCACCTTCATAACGTTCTTCTTGGAGATGGCGGCGCAGGTGTTGCTGGTCCATTCGATTGAGCGAATGACGCAGTCTTGAATGGGGTAAAGCATCAACTCCAAGGGGCCCATGATGCCGCCGCATTGATCAGAGTCGATCATGTCCAAGTATGCGATCTGCGCGGCAGCGTTGAAAGGTGCGACCAAGAAGTGAAGTTTCCGCAGTCTCAGCTCATCTTGAAGCATGGGGTATAGAGCCTGGATGTTGTAGAGACCTTGACCCGTAAGCTATTGTCGAACCGCACAAGTCAAGCTATAGAAGACTTACTCGCACACTCGCCAAAAGCGGCCACAGCGGCCTCGGCTTGTCCTTCGCTGTAGAGCTTCCACGCAACACCGGTTTGTTTCTGGATTTCGCGACCCTGCTTGGTGGTGACCTCGTCCTGTCCGACCATAGGTTGGCCATCGAAAATGAAAAAGGGGGTTGTGCGGTTCCTGAGCCAGTTGTCCAATTCGACTTGTATGCGCGCCTGGATGCCGGTGAGACCTCCGAGGGCGGTCAACAGCGGTTCATTGTAGTTTTCCGCTTGTTCGAGGAGCTGTCGGAGAAAGTATGACGCGTCGACGGCGACGGCGCAATCCTGGAGCTCGGATACATTGTAGGAGCTACACCGCGGGGGGTTAGCGATTCAGAAGGTTCAACACCCGGGATTGGGAGCAAAGCTCGACTTACACTTCCTGGGCCTTGAACCAGGGATCTTCAAAGTTGACTGGCATGATGTTGTTAGTTGTGGAAGAGACGAAGCAGGCGGCAGGGCGAGCAAGTAGTGGGCTGTAACAAGGTGGGTAGGAGGTGATGGCAAGGGCGGCGAGCGGTGTCTAGCTGGGTCAGGCGGTCCCGGTTCGTGCGGCCTCGAGGTGGCAGGCGAGAAGTGGTCTGGTGGGAAAACGGGTATGTTGGTGAAATGTAGCCCAAGTTCAGTCCTGAAGGATTGCCAGCAAAAGAGTGAAGTGCCAGCACGACGTCGAGGTATGGAATCGGGTGCGAGGAACCTCGAGGGACAAATGTCTGGCGAGGCTTTGGATTCGGGACCGCAATTGGCTTGCTGTTCGTGGCAGCGGGGAGGTGGAACCCAGCATTTACAGGCGAGGAAGCATCGACCTTGTAGGGACAAGCAGAGGCGGCAGCTCTACCTGGTACAATCGCAGTCCCAGGGGTAGGCGGCGGACAAGTGGTAAAGGCGTAGGTACCCGTCGCATTTGTCGTCGTCGAACATGGTTGCTTCCATTCGTGATTGAAATTTATTTTCTTCTACCGACCGCACCGTCCCCTGCCTGGGGTAAAATTGAAAGGGCAAGCCAGGCATTGGAGAAGAATGAGGTTTGGTGACGAAAGAGTTGAAGGACTTACCTGGCATCTTGAAAACGTTCCTGTCGGACGCCAATGAGGGGTTCCACAATTGGTGAGGTTCAGGGACCTGAAGGTGCAGGGCAGTGGTACGCAGCTGTAGCTGTGAGGCTAGCTCTATGACCGGCGCAAGACGGTTTTTGGTGGAGCTTATCCCCGGGCAGCTTGCAGTTGGAGTTTGCAACAAGCAAGTAAGAAGTTGAGGGCCGAGACGAGCTAGAATTGGAGAACCGGGGAGTCGAAGACTCGGCATGGAAAACAAGTGGAAATGCAGCAGATCACCAAAGGGGTGTTGGTGGTGGGGGAAACTGAGAGGTGAGGTTGTCCGAGTGCGTGGAGGTTCAAGTCATGGGTACTTAGCATACAGGGTTAGGGTTTAATGTGGGGATGGAAAGAACGGTCTCGATGGCGTGGATCTTGGAGGGGGATCGTGCCTTCGGGTTCGGTTCGTCCCACGCTCGGGGAGGATCCCGCCGGGCAGTCTCACCACTCTAGACCTGGCAACTGACGAAGATGATGACTGAGATGGGACGAAAAATATGAAACACATCGAAGGAGCGACCGAGACATGAGGCCACAGTTGCCATATTTCTCACAAGATCTGAATTGAAGAAACTTGAATCGTCTGGACCAAGCAACCTCCCTCAGTCCACTCGCCGAGGTGAGTACCTCTACATGTAAGCAAGGTGCAAGTGGAAATGACAAGAGATGAACCAAGAGCTTCCGCGGTGTTTTTTTACCACGAGCACCGACAGGAAACGCAGAAGCCACCATCATGCGAGGCTGAAGAATAGTGAAGTTTTGTTTACAAGTCAAAAGCAACACAGGTAGATCGCCCGAGTCCACTACCAGTAGCATACAAATACCACTGTAAGAACGCTTGCTAACGTCGCCAACCATATAGTTGGAGAGCTGTTAGCCGATCTCGGTGGTTATTCGCCAAAATGTGGCTGCTCAGGCGAAGAAATGGGCTGTGAGGGGAGCGGTATCCAGGTCCCAGCCTAAACTCCTAATTACTTCTTTAAGAAGTATACGTAATGGAGTATTAGCTTTTTTTCAAGCGCTGGAAGTCGTTT